TTCTTTACAACTTTATGGTTTTGCTTAATGGACCGGTAAAGAACGCTTTGTTTTGCTTAATGGACCGGTACCGGAATGTTTGCGTTTGGTTCATGGCAAGGAACTGCCGGTTTCCAAAGGTTGGAACTCACGGTTGCCAACGTGGGAACCACGGGTTACCATTGCAAGGAACTGCCGTTTCCCAGAGGTTGGAACTCCTGGTTCCCAACCTGGGAACCATGGGTTACCATTGCAAGAAACTGCCGGTTACCAGAGGTTGGAACTCATGCTTCCCAACCTGGGAACCATAGGTTACCATTGCAAAGAACTTCCAGTTCCTAAAGGTTGGCACTGATAGTTCCCAACGTGGGAACCAAAGCACAGCACGCTACAGCACCCTGCACAGCACCCTGCACAGCACCTTTCACAGCACCCTTCACAGCACCCTGCACAGCACCTTTGCGAGACTTCGCCACCGCAGTCTGGATAGCGCACCTTTGCCAGACTTCGCCACCGCAGTCTGGACAGCACCCTGCACAGCACCCTGCACAGCACCCTGCACAGCACCCTGCACAGCACTCTGCACAGCACCCTGCACAGCACCCTGCGCAGCATCTGCACAATACTCTGCACAGCACCCTGCACAGCACCCTGCACAGCACCTTTGCCAGACTTCGCCACCGCAGTCTGGACAGCACCCTGCACAGCACCCTGCACAGCACCTTTGCCAGACTTCGCCACCGCAGTCTGGACAACACAGCACCCTGCACAGCACCCTGCACAGCACCCTGCACAGCACCCTGCACAGCACTGCACAGCACCTGCACAGCACCCTGCACAGCACCCTGCACAGCACCTTTGCCAGACTTCGCCACTGCTCTGGACAACACCCTGCAGAGCACCCTGCACAGCACCCTGCACAGCACCTTTGCCAGACTTCGCCACCGCAGTCTGGACAGCACCCTGCACAGCACCCTGCACAGCACCTTTGCCAGACTTCGCCACCGCAGTCTGGACAGCACCCTGCACAGCACCCTGCACCCTGCACAGCACCTTTGCCGACTTCGCCACCGCAGTCTGGACAGCACCCTGCACAGCACCCTGCACAGCACCTTTGCCAGACTTCGCCACCGCACTCTGGACAACACCCTGCACACCCTGCACAGCACCCTGCACAGCACCCTGCACAGCACCTTTGCCAGACTTCGCCACCGCAGTCTGGACAGCACCCTGCACAGCACCCTGCACAGCACCTTTGCCAGACTTCGCCACCGCAGTCTGGACAGCACCCTGCACAGCACCCTGCACAGCCCACACCCTGCACAGCACCCTGCACAGCACCCTGCACAGCACCTTTGCCAGACTTCGCCACCGCACTCTGGACAACACCCTGCACAGCACACCTGCACAGCACCCTGCACAGCACCTTTGCCAGACTTCGCCACCGCAGTCTGGACAGCACCATGCACAGCACCCTGCACAGCACCTTTGCCAGACTTCGCCACCGCAGTCTGGACAGCACCTTGCACAGCACCCTGCACAACACCTTTGCCAGACTTCGCCACCGCAGTCTGGACAGCGTCCTGCACAGCACCCTGCACAGCACCTTTGCCAGACTTCGCCACCGCACTAGTACAGCACCCTGCACAGCACCCTGCACAGCACCCTGCTCAAAAGTTCGCCACCGAAGACCCCACCTTTGAGAAGTAAGAACCCCTATAGCTTGCCAGCTATCTGGGGAAAAACACAGAAAGAGACATCCCTGAAAGCATACCCATTAAATTCAATTGTTATTCAAAATAGAAAAACAGAAAACACAAAGAAGTGATCAAATACGTCCTATGCGTCCTTCTCCAAGAGACGGCAAGTGGATATCCAAAATAGTTCTAGTTTTGAAGCATTCACAAAGAACGGTTGGCTAATATAACTATGATTACTCAATGATTTGGATGCTTCTCTAAATTCGGGGACCCCTTTTCGCCATGGCTTTCCCCATGAATGATCCAGAACTCAAACGATGAGCCTATTGTAGATTAGGGTTTTGCTAACTAATATCTAATCAGATATGGTGAGTGAATAAAATCTCCATCCAAAAGCCACGACTCCTCGAAGCCGTCGCTAGAAAAAACTGCTTCAAAAAACAAGCCGTCATCATACGGATTTGTCTGAAAATAGGGGACCAAAATGCCCAAATGTTGATGGGGAATCATCAAATTTTCCCAAAACAAAACAGCGATTTTATGGCTATACCCCATTTATGGCTATACCCCATTTTCAGACAAATCCTGTTATATCGTGTCATCTGACCTTCGTCATCCCGCATGTACTCTCCGAGCCGAAAAAGCTCATTTTCTGAATGGGTTGCCCCATATGTTTCCACAGGTTTTTCTAAACGATTACCCCACGGTATATTAATCACCAATTACCCAGGGTAAGTGATGAATATGTATATATATATATATCATATTGCCATACCTATTATAATGTAAACGGTGTTTAAGTTAATATATATATATTATATACTACAACATGTTCAGACATGGTAATATGTGTATATATATATATATTGTTTTGTATATAACTAATATGATATATGTATAACTGATATCATTATATATATAAAGACACATAATATAATACAATACAATATAGTATAATATAGTATCATATCATGTAATATAGTATCATATCATGTAATATAGTATAATATAATATCATGTCACATAATATAATATCTATCTCTTATGTAAATATTGGGATGATCATTTTCAGATACCTTGAATCAAGCAGCTCGAAGATGCAGTGCACCCTGGACACCGAAGCTAGTTGCGAGTCCGTCACCTACCACGCCGTGGCGAATTTTCTTCGATCCCCGCAGTGTTTCGGTGGAGTTGTAGGGAACCCCAATGTATTGGGGGACAAGAATTGACTCTGGTTTATGTTGTTTCATGCTGTTTTAATGATGTTCTTCGAGAAAAAAACATATGAACATGTTTTACTGATGTCATGTTCGGAAAAAGAATGAACACTTGAAAAACAGAGGCCAAATGAACATGATACTATCCCAGAAATGGAGGGACAGTTGAAACCAAAAGCCGCCCTTCTGGAGCCGATCGATCTCCAGTTACCATGTGACTGACCGTTCTGAGTCATGTTGTGTGGATTCCAGCAATTCAAGCTGGTTCCACATAAGGGACTCCCAACAGCCATTGAAATCCAGGTGGAAAGAATCGGACCCATTTTAGGGGCCCCTCTTCGGTATTGAATATCTGGCAGGGTGGAAAAAAAACTCAGTGATCCAAGTATTATCAAATGTTAACCACTAGTATTAACCATTATAAATGGATGGAAACCATTCTTAACCAACAATCGCCAGTTTCTAAGCCATCATAGATAATGGTTCACAATTAGTTGATGGTTAATCATAAAATATTCACGACTAGTTTTTATCCCTGAATCATTCATGAATGTTCGGTTTGACTCAGTTGATGTTAGAAACCAATGGATTGTTTTTCATTATATACTAACCATGATCATTTTATATTGGTTATCCTCCGGTAATCCAACATAGCAATTGGAAATCTCCCATTGCTATATTTTCCCAGCTATAAACTACTATAAACCTCCAGCTATCGTTCGAGGAGTCGCCAGCCAGATGCCACTGGAGGGTAATGAAATGAGCCATTCCTAACCACCATCAGTTGAACTATGAAGTTGTTAATCGTTAAGTAATCATAAGTTATTCATCATTTTTGGCCGTTATTCTTACTAACCATTATCGACTGTTATTATTAGCTATCCTTGACCATTAACTATCATCAAATAAAGCTATCATTATCATTCACTATTATTAACCACGTGTCTCTTATTAATCGTTATTAATCTCGATTAAGCATTATTCTATGTTCTTAATCATTTTATTGATTAATCATCATAAATTGTTAATCAGGTTTAACCATCCTTATTGCAAACCATTGTTGTAATGATTACTAACCATTACAGTAATCATCATAAATTATTACTAACCATTGTTGTCATCATAAATTACTAACGACTATTAACCATTATTACTAAAAATTATTAATGATTACTAACCGTTATTAGCCATTATTAAGCCATGACTTTCTTCGGGCCTGGATCGTATTTCCCTCTCCGCGGCCAAGAGTACAAACCTCGCGACAGATGTCGCACGCCAGGTTTTTGGAGCGGGCAACAACCAAATGAAATAACCCAAATATCTGAGCCATCTATTATATATATATAATAAGATATTATGTATAATGTATAATGTGTATATATATATATATGATTATAATATACATATATATATTATTATAGGTATATGATTATAATATAATATACATATATATTATTATTATTATCATTATTATTATTATATGTATATGATTATAATGCATATATATATATATATATACAAAAATATATGATTAATATACACATATATATATATGATTATAATGTGTATATATATATGATTATTATATATATATATGATTATAATATTATATATATATGATTATTATATATATATATATGATTATAATATTATATATATATGATTATAATAAATATATATATATGATTATAATAAATATATATATATATATGGTTAGATATTATGTGTATAATATATATATTATTAATTATGTATATGTGTCCACCACATACTGCTATGCTTGGGTCCCGCAGCTCCTTTTTTTGCGTTGCGAGTTAGTGGTTCATACCCTGGTTAGTACGTCCAAGAACTGGGCTAAGTATCTAGTTTCGTCAAAAAAAGGGGTCACAAATGTTGTGCTACCAAGCTAAAAGGTGAGGCCCTGTTCTCGATAGCTAAGTTAACTAGTCTTATAACTTGGTGAACTAATGTTAACTTGGGTTTACAAGGGAAATATCTATAGTTTATGGCTTTATAAAGCAACAAACACAACGGCGGGGGCCTCACCAAGGGTATCTGTTTGCCAATTTCGCCGAACCAAGGATGGACCATGCAGTCCGCTGTCTTAGACACTGGCCCTGTCTAATAGGACGATCTTCTCACCCATGCGAGGACCTGCGAGGTCGGAAGAAAAGCGCTGCTGTGTGTATCTCAAAATGGGGTAAGTAATTGCCACCAAAAAATGTAATTTGTATAGGGAACATGATGATAAATCATCAATTGTTGGGGTGTTAGATGCGCCTAGCACTTTGGACGGCAGTTTGACCGTTCTGAATGTTTGCCATTGAAAAAACACAGTGTCAAACTCCAAACCAGTGACACAAAAAAAGAAACAAAGTCCCAACCCCAAACTCCATGAATCTCAAAAAACAACATGGTCAAAAAAAAAACGAAAAAAAAAGACCTGAGATGATTTTCTGCCTCTTCTTTTTAATGATGTCCAAGAAAGCTACAAAAATGCGACCACAATATCAGTCCCACCTGAGATGAAATCCAATTCGAGTGGCGCCACCGGGATGCAAGTCCCGGACCTTGGCGACGAACTGGTCACCGGGAAAATGTTGGGAAAATCCTCGAACTGTTCATGGAACTGTTCATCGGTTGGTCTAGTGAGAAAAATTCCTGAAAATGATGGTTCAGAATGGTTATAATATGTCATCAGTCCACATGTCATCAGCCCCTAGTATAATAATGGTTAAGAATGGCTAAGAATGGTTAATAGTTAATGGTTAGTAATATTGGTTTACCGGTTGGTCTCTGAGCCTTTGAGCCTGGGAAAATCGAAGTATCAGCAAGCCATGTTTGATCATGGGAGGGAAATCATCCAGATATGGACATCAATGCGGAATTCGAATTGTCTGGCTAGATGCTAGATTATGATGCCTCTGTGAGGCACACAACAACAGGTCAGTATCGAATGCATTTGCAAACTGAATCCGGGTTCTGATTCTGCACTCTCTTGATTCGTTTGTATCCCTGGTGTGGTTTTTCCAGATGGCACACATGAGTACGATTTGGGGTGTGGCACCACCCGGCTAAAGTTTCTTTGCCGGTGCCGAGATTATCCACCCCGCAATAATTCATATCGGGCACAATTTCTGGGTCAAGTCATTCTTGTTTTGAGGACCTCAAAAGAATCTCTGGGTAATGTCAGGTGGTCGGAAAAAAGACAGTAACAGTCACCGGATCCTCCGGGTTTTATTTATTGCCGCATTGCCAGCCTTAAACATTCATGATGAATCACGAAAAACCCTTGCACTTCTCCAAGTAGGGATGTGTTTATAACATTTTATAACACGGTCTCAGTTATATGTGGGTTATAACGTTTTTATACCGCAATTCTTCACCTGGCTGATTTATCACTCCAAGATCTCCAAGTTGCACATGGGTTTTCTCCGCTATACGTTGGTTTATGACCTCCATTGAAGTTCGATATATCTGGGTAAAACATCATATCTCACTAACCTGAAATGAGGCCATTTGGGGATGACTCCCGACCCTGATTCCAGGGTTTGGTCAAAGTGAGGTCACTACAATTTGCCCAGATACATCCAGATAAATATATATATATCAAATAAACCGTAGTGAAATTGGAGTTGTGTTGACCCACTTTGCCATAGGCACCCCCTTCTATGTGGTTAACGAGACTCATCTACAAGTGGACGGTTTGCCCTGGCATGTTCGATGACCGGATACCAGCAAGAATCCCCAACGTCTATCCGAATCAATCGCCAATATCTACCCAACTTCAGTCTCATGATCAGCTAATAACTAGTTTAACTGGTGTATGTATGTATATATTGATTATATATATATACATATGTATATACATATATACATATATCTAGTGTTCGTTTTTATCAAATCTATCCCAATGTTTTCTTTGTGTCGGCTCCCGCTCCGGCATGGGGCCCAGGGGCCCAGGGGCCCTGGGGCCCTGGCTGCATCTTCATGGGCCGATCTGTGGCAGATGCACAGCTGCAGAGCCTAGAAGCTGTACTCATCCACCTTCGGCCAGTGAATTGATGAATGAGATGGCAACTTTACCCATGGTTTAATGACATTTAATGGTGGTTTAATGGGATTTTATGGTGGTTTAATAATAATAATAGGATCTAATGGGAATTTTAATGGCATCTGGTTGATGGTTGGGCCTACCCCTCTGAAACATATGAGTTCGTCAGTTGGGATGATTATTTCCAGTATATGGAAAAATAAAATTCATGTTCCAAACCACCAACCAGTGATTGGTAAAAAGCATGGTTAATAATGACCAATAATGAAAAACATGCTAGTAATAGTGAATACTAATGATATGATGATATGATGAGGGTTAGTAAAAATTATAGTTAATACTGATCAACAGTATTCAATAGTGGAAAATGGTTAATAATACTGAAATGTATTCGTAATAAAAATAAATTGATGAAGGGCCGGGGATATCCCGAAGCTTGTAGCTGCGAAAATCCTCGGAAAATACGGGAAAATCCCTGAACTAAATGGAGGTTTATAGCTGGGAGAAAATAAAAACATAATAATAGTGAGTAATGATAATGGATAATAGACATCAATAACTTATGATGAATAATTAATGATGAATATCTCAATAGCCAAACTGCTGATGGTTAATGATCAATTTCACTACCCAACCGTGTCATCAAACATAGCAACTGATGCAACTGGAAACCCCCGATATTGTGAGGTTGATAGCTGGGAAAATCAACTATAAAAAACGAAGATTTTCCTGCAAGCCACGTTTGATGACACCGGAGGGTAATGGGGATTTTCATGGGGAAGATCTGGTCAATATATGGGATAAACCATGATAAGATCACCAGAAATAATCCGGTCCCTCCCCCGTTAACAGAACAAACACCCGCCAGAAACGATGGTTGGATGTAGGTGCGTTCAATAAGGGGAATGGATTAATTCAATGGGGATATAAATGGCGATCATGGGAATATGACAGGAATATGTACTCTCTGGTAATCGTTTACGGTTTGCTATGGTATAGACGGCAAGCGAAAAATAGCGTGCCTGTAGATGATTTGCCTACAAACGGTGGTTTTCCATTGCCATGTTTGACTACCAAAGGACAAATAAGGGGTAAACCAGCCAAACGATATGAATCAGCCACTTAAATAAGATTGAGTAATTCAAAATTAATGTGCCTGAGCAAATATATATATATATAATTATATATATACATACATACATACATCAGAATATCATATAAGAATTGATGGTGAGAAGTGGATCCTGACATGCGTATATCCCCGATTCCGAAGGGTGTTCCACCTCAGCTGGGTCGGTTGACCATTGTCATTGCCTACTCGAGTACTATAAGCTTCCTTGAAAATCAGCCACACATATTGTCGATAGCGATATATCTGATGTTCCCAGCCATAGTTGCGACAGGGTGTATGCCCATATTGGCCTGAATAAACCGGGACTTTCATCAACTTTGATCCAATTTTACCATGCAGTTTCCAAGCATTTCCCTCCGGCGATTTCTAGGAAGAACATCGAAGCTGTTCCACTGAGGGGGCGACCCACGAGATTTTCGAACCGTCAACAGTTCGGCCTCGCAAAAAGGCAAGCGCGGAATTCCGCACGGGAGATTGATCTTAAAAGAAGGTGCCAAAGTGAGCAATTCATCGCTAAGTTGGTAAACATAACCATAGTAGAATAACTAGGGCTTACGGTGATGAAACTGGAATAACTAGGGTTTATGCTGATGAAATTAGAATAAGTATGGTTTATGGTGATGAAATAACATGAAATCACCATATTTAGATGGATAATCAACCAACGAACATCATTACGGGGTACCACTTTGAATGACTGCAAGTCTTGGTGACACAAGTTGTGACGTTGTGACCCACGTCTTGGTTGACCCTTCAATAATCGCCATGGTAGTTCAACACAGCGAACTGGAAAATCACCATGTTCAACAAGTAAATCTTCGAACCAAATGAGCCATCTATACCATAGCTATGCGACAAATCACCAGAGTTCCATTATATTCCTGCGATAGTCCCATTCATTATATCATTACAGTATATAATAGCATTGATCATTAATATCATTAATATCATTGCAGTAATATCATACATAATCATATCCCATTTATATCCAAATTATATCCCCATTAACCTCATCTCCCGTTATAAAACAATCTTTGGGCGAAGGACCTGGATGTCATCGTCCGAAAGTTCCTCTCCTCGAAATCGCGCAGCCGAAACCCACAAAATTGGTCAGATTTCGTCATCGAATACTGAGGAATTTACCTGACTTTGATCCACTCATATTCACCCAGAAAAGATGTATACATATATGTGCATAACCATCATATATAACCAAGTATATATAAGCAAATTACAAAGTTTTTGGTGGCTCCACTGGTGGGTTTTTCGAATCAAAAGTCACCCAAAACTCAGGCTCAGACCTCCATTCCTGGCAATCGAGGCTTGGTTGAAATGGTGGAGGTTCCATGGTTCAACCCCCCAAAATGAATCAAAAAAAGAAAGGGGAAATCCTACTAAAATAGTAGTAAAGAGGGGCAAATTGAACCTGTTCTATCTTTTTTTGGGGGTACTATTAAATCTGTAGCATTGGACAAGGAGTATATAGTTGCACCCTTGTACAATGCATCATTCTTGCTTTTGTGCTCATTTGTGCATTGATCTCCCCACTCTTCACGCTTGAAGTCATGCTTGTCGTTATACCTGCTAAGCAAGCAACAACTATCGCAGGCTCTGATATTTCCTCTACAAACATCAACTTTTTTGAGTGATTGGCCCCAAAAACATGGGCTTATACTAGTTATGTTGCTGTGGTTGCTTAAACCCTGATTTTGGTGAGCTTCATATCCTTGAAAAAAAGGGTCGAAAAAGAGGCTGCCCTGCGAAATCCATATGTTGGCAGTTTCCCTATGATGTAAATTGCAATTTTATGGTGTTCATCCACCATCTTCAGCCCCGTAAAAAAGGGTCAGGTGCTTGAGGCTTCGGCCCTGTCTTGGACACCGAGGATGGAGAAGTGTCTGAAAAACACACCCTGGGCCAAGGGGTCCAGTCGTTGTCCAAGTGCTCCAGTGATCCCTGCTGGAAAATTGGGGATTATTCGCCAAGAAGGTGAGATAACTAGCATCCAGTGGGAGATGGAGCCAATAAACAATGGAGCTTTGAGTTGGTTTGATTATGAAACAAATCTGTTGACGATCTAGCAAATGAGGAGATCACCAGCAATCAATTAGAAAAAACCATCATGAAACTGTTGTGTTTCACAACAGGATACTTTTGGGAAAATCTACAGGAAATTCAACTTTTTCCCATCTCCAAGGCAGCGGCTTTGGCTTCGGGTTGGGCCACATGCCTCAGGGGGTGCTCCCATTCCGGTTGGTCTTAGGGCTTCAGCTAACCACAGGGGCTGCTCCAGCGATTCATCGCGGATCTTTTTTTTGGGTAGTTATGTGTCCAAGTTCACCAATGGGTTTATGATACATCTACGAAAAGTCAATGGTGGTTATAAACCAACTTATAATAGTGGGGCACCAACTTAAGTAGGAAAGGACATCTTTCCGGCCCCTGGATATTCATGGTTCCTATATGTTCCTATCCCAGACAAGTTCTATCAAGATACCCTCTGGTAATTTAACATAGCTATTGAAAATTGCCCATTTATAGTGGTTTTTCCCATATAAAATGGTGATTTTCCATAGCTATGTTAGTTTACCAGAGGGTATCCCCATGATATCCCCATGATTCATGGTTGATCACCATGCCATGGATCTCTGCGAGGGGAGCTCCTGTTGGGATCTCTGAGATTTTCTCAACGCAGCACCGAAAAAAGGTGATAGCAACCATGATATGAAGGCGGGCCACTCACTTTTGAACATAGAAGAGTCTAGCACTGGGAAAGCCTTGAAAAGACATTTTACATATTTTTAGGTATTTATTTATATATATATATCAGTTGTTTTCCAAAATAGTCTAGCCCTGATATTCCTCAATACGCTGAGGATATGACAAATAACTGCCCTTTACTAAGCAAAATGGAGGCCTCCGGTCATGACTCCAGCGATCCAAAAAATATGCTCGCCCTTTGGGGATCATCCCCAACATCTTCAAAGATCAAGATATTTGAAACCACAAACAACTGTTTTTTAATTTTGTAAAAATGCTCAAAAGTATTAAGTATGCATTATTTCTGCGGATATGATATGTATATATATAGATATAGATATAGATATTAGATATCCCACTGTTGGCTATCCCAAGTTGCCACATCAAAATCGTTCCACGGCTTGATATCCTCCCGACTCGAGACACCCTGCCTTTGTGGCGCTCCTAGCAGGAATGGAAATGTGCGTTTGCCTGTGTGCCCAGTGTGACTATATACTTTTTTGTCCGCGGCTGTCGATGCATATCAATCATCAAATGGATAGATGCCCTTTGTATCTATATATGTAATTAGGTATATGTATACAATCACAGGCATGTTCATAGCTATTGGTTGTTTTCTGTCTCAATTCATTCCAAACCAGATATGAACACATCTTTGAGTGAGAAGCTGGTGTCCAGCATGAGCAAACAGCACTACTGCCATCCTCTTGGACGGGTTGGTTATAGGGCTGTGCATCATATCATCAATAATGATCCTCCCGATCAATTCAAGGTTCCCCCAGCCCTAATCGTCAACATGGGTCGCTCAAAAGGATACCAAAAATCCGATTGTTGCAGCAGCAACCCACTCCTCTTCGATCTTCAGCGAATGAAGCCGGTAGTGTATGTGGCTCTTTTGACACTTGCAGCCACCTGTCGAGGCGGTAGGGGTGGATACCCCTGCAAAAACGCCAAGGCTTCAAGTCTGCGATGGAAATGGCAGCCCCATGGACATCTCCCGGATGAGCACCATGATTACCCTCTGGTTATGTCAAAAAAACTATTGAAAATGGCCATAGAAATAGCGGATTTACCCATTAAAAATAGTGATTTTCCATAGCTATGTTAGTTTACCAGAGGGTACCTTGGAATTTACCATCCATAGCACGCCATGGCTGAAATTGGTGGAAGACTGAAAACCTTGATTGTGTTTCTGCTCCAATCCCCAGATTTGCTGCTTCAACTCCCAAGAAATGGGTTTCATTTAACTTCATCCCATGTTTATAGCAGCCTCCAACAAGATAGAAAAGCAAAATCCTACTAAAATAGTGGCAAATTCAAACCTCTTCCATCGTTTTTGTGGTTCCAACAGAGGCCTGCTGGTTTCTCCATCTTTCAACGTTGCCACGACCCGCCTCCACAGAAGCGGACAATGAACTCCACACCACCTGGGAGAACAGCGGAGGTTTCTGGGATCACCGAAGCGTATCATTGGGAGATTTTCCAGCCAGGTTTGATATACCCAATGAGTATCAAACATATCCCAATGAGTATTAATATTTGATATCATCTCTGGGATATTTTCATCAAAGCCAGGTTTGATGAATAGTAATTTTCCCAGCCAGGGATATAGTTTCCCCAAGTGGATGTGTTCCAGAGTTCAAAGGGTACACATCTTCGAGTATGAAATATGAATGGTGCTAACGAAAGAGCCAAGGAATGTGGGATTTAAGTAACATCAAATGGGATGTCAAGCAACAACCATGGGGCTTTTCCTAGTTCAAAAGTTGGGATTCAAACGTTTCAAATGGGTGGAGCGAAGATAAATATGGACATACGGAGCCCAAGTGGGGAAGCAAAAAGCAGGAACAGAACCTGATGTACCTGATGTGAAATAACAAGAAATAGCCTCTGGTAATGAAACATGGCTGGGAAATCCGCGAACCAAATGGAGGTTTAGTTCGCTGGGGAAATCCTCAAAAAAAGGAGCAGTTAACATTGCCATGTTGGATTACCAGAGTAGGAGAATTAACCAGCTGAAATCAAGAATAAAGAGTGATCATGCAAGTAAAACACCATAATCCTATCATGATAATATCAATCATACCAATTCCTATCATGTGTATATATTTAACTTCCTTTAGAAACCTTGAAACATTGGACGAATTTTCGGGGATTCCCACTTCCCAAACATCCCAGCAGCATCCCACGTGGGATCCCAATCCCGTTGCGGCCTACGCGGATCCAATCTCCGCAGCTCAAAGTCACCGTGGAGCCTCGCCAACGCCATTTGCACCATCCCCCAGGAACATCACCATGGATTTATAGGTGGGATGGTTACCCTCTGGTAAACTAACATAGCTATTGAAAATGGCCATTTTTCATGGGAAAATCCATTTTCAATAGCTATGTTAAATTACCAGAGGGTACCATTCCCAGGAAAATGGCTGGTTTATGATATTGTATGATATTGTTTTACCCACATGAAACATGGGACTCAATTTGGCTAATGGGGTAGCTGCTTCATGAGTAAAATCAATGGGTCATTAATAAAACAGAATCGAGCCCTGGGTTGTTTAGTTTGGAGAAAAAAGAACAGGTGCCAGGTCAGCTATTCTTGACCCAAAATGGCACCACGTGCAATCCGTCCTATGACATGTTTCGACGTAATTCATGAATGCAATATTTTTAGAAAACGATCACAATCTTTCTAAAAAAAAAGGATAGCCGCATCGGATAGCCCTCTTTGGAAAAAAAAAGAAAAACACACAGTTTCTTGATGCGGGGTTGACATGGTACAGTTTACCATCATTTGCCCAATGCAGTTCACCATGGGAGTTCTGGATCCTTCAACCTGTGCGAATTTGGGACATTGTTTGACTGCAATAGAGTGGATATCCTTACAATGTGATGCCCCATAGTCGTTGGCTAATTTGGTTTATAAATAGGATAGCTAGGATTTTTACGATAAATAATATCTATAGTTAATGAGGTTTGAAGACCAACTTGTAACTTGGGGCACCCTGTTGTGCCAGCGAAAGGCAACAGCATCCACAGCATAGCCACAGCATCCTGTGGTTTCCACTGCATGCTATCTTGGATACTCTGATCAAATGGCTATGTCTAAGATCCTAAACCAATCTATTTACCCTCTTTGTGAACGTTTACATAGCTATGGACATCACCATTTCGATCAACCATCAAACTCAATGGGTCTTTTTATGCCATCTTCAGCCATTTTCCATGGCTATGTCACTTTACCAGATGAGCAGTGTTCAAAAACCCCCTATTATTCCATTGAATCCTGGTTGGTTTATAGGGATTCCCCGTTCTTGGATTACCCGTTCTTGGATTATTAGAATCCCCGAACTAATCATCAACCAACAGGCTTAGCAGCCACTGCTCAGATGGTAGTTCCATTCCCCAGGCCAGAGCCGCGTCGCATTTCCGGCCCCACGGCGCACCGATCTTCACAAATGTGCCCCATTTGGAGCCAGCGTCCATGATGTAAAACTGATCCGTCTCCTAGCGTTTTTTTTGGAGCTGACCCAAGCTTTGGAGACTTCAAAACTTCAATTTGGATATTGACGGATATTGGATGTGTCATTTGATTTGATGTTGGGATATAGATGATGAATTCAATTCAGAGAATCGAACGTTCACCAAAGTTTCTTTGATTTAAGAATGAAAAAGTTACCCAGATTTGTTGCGTCTTTTTCTGGACTCCTTGACAAAAAATCGAAGGAAATGGCTGTGAAATATCTACCTTCGAAACTTACCAGTGGTTTCTCCGACTTCGCTCGGCTTCGGTCCCAAATCCAGGGGTTCAAAATCATTTCTTATCATATTTCCCAATAAAGAAGTGCCATAAATCCAGGGAAATCATGTGCAGATCTTCGAAAAAATCGTTAAAACTGACGTGAAATCCAGGGATTTCATCATCCGATGACCTCATGTCATGATGTCATGGCCATTTTAAGGGAAAAGACCAAAAATGCCCAGGCTGAATGAAAATTCCGAAACTCCATCCTGGACAGCATCCTGGACCGGGCCTGGTCGTGGATCACGTTGAAATGACTTCTAGAGGCAATGGGCTCAGACATCGGACAGTCTGGAGCCAGAGCCCTGGAGCGGGTGACCCCTTTCGCATGGGAAAATCCCATCGGTGTCCATGTGAAAAAGGATGGAAAAAACCATCCAAATGTCCGTTTTGATTCATTTTGAACAGCAAGGAAAGTTTAAGGATTTAAAGCTATAGATGTAGAAAATATGTCTGTGCATTTTCACTTGAACTCATTCTGGCAAGATGATTTTAGATGAGAAAAGAGGTGGAAAACCCAAAGAGAAACTTAAGCGAAGTAAAAAGGAGGTAGAAGACAAAAAAAACATCAGAAAAGAAAACAAAAAGTATCAAAAAGTGACATCAAAATCCCCGCTCTACCTTCACTTCAAAGGGGCAGGGCCCTTCGGCGCACCTTTTGGATGAGCTCCTGCCAAACTTGGTCACGCCACTAAAGCGACTCCCTGGGTGCCAGGAACGGACGCGCAGGATATGTGGAATGAGGAGATCACTTGGATTGTTTTTATACAGCTCTATATATATATATATATACAGTCCAGATAGATGGTATCATGTATGTGCATATACATATATATTCAAACAATATGCTATAATTATAATGCCATATATTTATATTATAAAATGAATCATATATGCATGTTATAGTGTAATATCATGTGTATATATGTATATATATACACAATACACACATGTTGTGTGTGTGTGACATGATGTTGCCTATCTTGATGAATCGCGTGGGAGGTGTCTTTTCAATATGTTTATGTACAAATATATTATACAACAGAAATCCGTAGATTTCCTGTCAGGAACATCAACTTTGGTGCTCGTGGACCTATTCCTCCATATGGCCCAAGATTGCACCAACTGACCGACCAAACCGTTTGTTTATCATTTTTGGACCATATCAACCCATGCAATTTCGGCTGCCAATGATCCGACATACCCCCAAGTCTGGTCTTCTTTCCAATCATTTGCCAACCCAATGTAGATAGATGGTGCCCTCCACCAAATTAAGGCCCTGAAAATAACCAATTCTTAGTGAAAATTCATCTTCCAAATTCATGGCAGGGTCGTGATGTTAATTTGCTGGATTGTAGGTGAAATTCACCAGTTTCGATGCTCTCATTGGCGACCGAAAGGCCGTTGGCTGCAACCACCAAGGCTGGCAAGGTCGAAAAGTCCGCAGGCGCCTCACGGATCAAATCTTAGATTTATTGAGTTGATCTAGGGTTTGATATTGGATCTTTGATATTGAGATACCCAATAAACAGTTATAACTAAGTTATAACCAACTTGGGTTTGATACCAAATGTTTGAATCTTGGAAATATAGGAATTCCTATCCCATACGTTTCAATTCGTTAAAGAGTCGTCAAAAATACGTAAAATGATGATCAATTTGATATACTGTACCCTCCCAGAATCAAACATGGTTTGCTGGAAAATCCCATATTATCACATGATTTTCCCAGCAACAAACCTCCATGGCTAGTTCGGGTATTTCCCAGCCAGCCACGTTTCATGACCAGATTGCAACTATGTTTTATGGGTATTATAACCTATGGTTTATGGGTATTATAACTATATTAAACCATAGTTAACAATAGAGAACCCAAAAAAGTTAACCATAGTTAACCCTAGTAAACCACACTTAAACCATAGTTAACACCAGTAAAACATATAGGTAACCATAGTTCACCGAATGGTAAATCTCCACTGCAAGTTCTATCCCCATCCTGGAGAAAGCCCGACACGGACCCGACACGGACCAGCACCTCCCGCGGAGAGCTCGGGGACACGGCCTCGAAACCAACAGCTCTGGTGGTGATAAAACTATAGCGTAATATAATTCTAATAGAAGTTAACCAATAGAAATTGAATAATAGAATATAGAAGTGAACTATTAGAAGTTAAAAACAATATAATTCTATGATATCATAGATATCATTAATATAAGTCAATAGATATAATTCTAATGATGTTGCTTTGTAGAAAGATAGAAGTGGTAGGACTAGATGCAGTCTATGATTTGCCACGTCATTTGTAGGTTCCCTACTATGGCTTATCACAATCCCCAAGCAATTAGGCAATATGAGTCCCAGCAAATTCACAGCCCTCAGTTATCAACTATATTCGCACATGTTTCAGGTCATGACATAGGTTATAACAGATTATAACCCCTGCAAATGACGGTTAACTCCCCATAAAATCACCCATCAACCAGGCTATCACCTTTTCCCCATGTCGAGTTCCGTACATGCGGCTTTTCGTCCACATGGGCTGGGTTCGGCATTTGAAGCACCGGCCGATTCTGTCCCAAGTCACCTGGGACTCGTCGATTCGGGTGGAGGCCAGGGGTGAGTTTATGGCTATTACTAGCGCATGAGATTTTGACCTCCATGAGTTTGGATATTTCCCCTGCAACTATGGTGAAATCTAACCCCTTATGAGGCTGTAATGTTGCTTTTTAGCAAGATCATTTCTACCACCCAGATGGATTGATGATGGAAAGCTCCACAAACATTGGTAAAATTTGGAGATGGTGGATCCTGTTGAATTGCTAAGATTGTAGGTTAAAGTTTAACCTACAATGTTAGCAATTAAACAAAACCCAATCATCGATTCAGGGGTGGCATTCCAATTGGTAAGCGATGCAAAACCCATGTGGTAACTAGGCCAATGTCTTATAGAAACAAAATTGATTACATGAATACTCTATATATATATACAGGGAAGAGGCTTGAGGTTCCCCGGAGCGCAGTTGAACTGGAGCTGGAGAAAGATTTAGAAATGACATTTGTTCACTTCGTTTTACAGCGTTTTGTGGTCTGCATGGAACATGATAACACATTGAATGGCTTCAACACGTGGACAACATACCTGGGGCATGTTGTCCGCGGTTTTAACTAGTTTTAGGTTGTTCAAGTTCTTCATTTTATGTTGTTTTCGTAGAAACCAGTAGAATTGCGTGCTGATAGAATTTCAGTGTTTTCATGGATCCCATAAAAATGTCATTATTCCCCAGAGAACCATGGGCCAAATGCACATCCCCTTTTTTCAACATAGCAGCATCTTCAACATCTTCGACGTAAAAACACATCTTCAACGTAGCAACATCTTTCCTCTAACGCAGCTCAAAGCATGTTAATACACCACCCCACCCCCCCCTCTGTATATTAGAAGATCACACATGTATTTTGTATCGCAAGACTCAAGGTTCCTCAATGTTCCGGGGAACCTCAAGCCTCTCCCCTATCTACCTATCTATCTATCTATCTATCGATCGATCGATCTATCGATCTATCTATGGATCTATCCTATCCTATCCTATCCTATGCTATGCTATGCTATGCTATGCTATCCTATCCTATCCTATGCTATGCTATCCTATGCTATGCTATGCTATGCTATCCTATCCTATGCTATGCTATGCTATGCTATCCTATCCTATCCTATGCTATGCTATGCTATGCTATGCTATTCTATCTATCTATCTATCTATCTATCTATCTACATATGTATATTATACATAATTACATATATATATATATTATAACTGGGTTGTACTATGGTTGCAACGAAATTCCGTGGAATCCACTCCAAGTCGCCGCTGACGACCCCGAAGATCAAGGAGCGCCGGGTGCATGAAATGCACGAATCCACCTGAAAAATCTGAAAACGGAGTCCGCAAAGGCGGGATGCGATGGGAGTTTCAAGAGAGGTGATGTTGCAGAGAATCAGGGGTTTAACCAACATGGGGGATTGAAACAAAGATAATGGGCATAGGTTAAAATTGCAGACCCATTGGGAGCAACAGATCGAATAGTCGCTGTTAGTATGCTCCACTATTGACCCATACCCTGGAAAACAGTGGAAAGAACAGCATATTAAAAGAACCTTTAACCGTTAACCATAGATAGCTACAGATTGGATGCATTGTCCAACATACACATTTCTCTTCGGTGACCTATCTTTCATTGTCGGTGAATACCCCAAGCTTTGCCGTCTGGGCCGACGCACGGCGCGCAGAGCTGACTCTCGCAATGCAAAACTTGCACTGCTGGCCTGTTGCCGGAATCAATTTGGAACCTGCGAAAAAGATTGGATTAATTGAACTCCTAGTAAAGTAATGAAGAAGTACTTTTCTATTTGTTGGTTACTTTTGGATATTAATCTTATAATGGGTTTAGTTTTGATATGCGACTGATTGTTGGTCGTTGTTGATATTTAGTTTAATATAGCAATATTAATTTGATAGCACTTGATGGTAGTAACCAGATGGGGAACTTCGTGGTTGATAGTAATTGCAATGTAGGGCAATGATGGCTACTGATAATGCCATTCTGGGCAATCATAGCGGTACCATATTGATTCCACTATTGACTATCAAGAGTGGATTCATAGCTAATAATGGTGATCTGGATTCGTAGCCAAGTTAATAGGTCTTCTATTTTGCAAGTGGTTGGTAACCATAGTTAGTTTTAACCCAGGAAGCCATATGGGAGAAACTGATCTATTGGATGGGAATGCATGGAACTTATGATGTACATCTTTCCTGGGGTCACCAGGGGCCGTGTACAACCCGCATGGTTAATTCATGATATGGTAACTCCAAAAGCTGGTGTCACCAGCAAAATGTGATGTCATACCCTCCAGTGAACTAACAGTTTGCTGTGGAAGTCATGGCTCATTGACTTCGATGATAAAAATCAGACGGTAAGCCTCCCATCTTTGTTGCTACATCATCATATTCGCGATCAAAATGATCAAAGGTCAGGTTTGGTATAGCCCATTTTCAGAACATTCCCGCATCCATCGCATCCATTGGTAAAAAATCCTAGCTTTGATGGTTGAATTCTCCCTTTTCCGCCATGTTTCATGGTTAAATCATTGGTTAAATCAGTTAAATCCACCATTTCAATTCGTTTCATGCTGAAAATCTCCAGTTTTCAAACCATTTCATGGTTAAACAACTGGTATTCATGTTTAGAATTTCTTGGTGATACTTCAAAATCCCCAAGACATCACCACTTTTCCCCAGTTCCTCCGTTCCGTTTTTGCGTTGGCCTCGTCTTCCGGATCCATCCACCAGGGCTTATGCGAGGCGCACAAATCGCTCACAAAATCGTCCCAGGCCTTGGCTCGTGCCAGGTCTTGGCCACAAAATGGGATGAATTATAACTGGATCATTACTATATCTATCATTCATAATGATCCAATAATGATTATCTATATTATATTATATTACTGGTTATGAATCTACCATCCAGTGTCAAACATGGATAATCGGAAATCCCTAACTATATCTATAATTCATAAAAAGTTGGAAAACCCTAACTATAATGAAAAAAGTTGCTCGCGAAATAAACCTCCAGGTTGAAAATTACTATATCTGGTTGGTGGTTTCAACCCCTCTGAAAAATATGAAAGTCAGTTGGGATGAGTATTCCCAATATATGGAAAAATAAAAAATGCTCCAAACCACCAACCAGCTATAACCTTGGGTGAAAGGATCATTATCATAATTGGATATTGATCATATCTATAGATATTGATAATGATCCATAACCTGTTAGATATAGATATGATGATATACTAATGGGTATTACTATATCATATCTAAATGGGTATTACTATATCTATTAGATTCTATTAGTACATCATTATTATATCTATAACCTTGGGTCAAAGGATCATTATCATAATTGGATATTGATGATATCTATAGATATTGATAATGATCCATAACCTGTTAGATATAGATATGATGATATACTAATGGGTATTACTATATCATATCTAAATGGGTATTACTATATCTATGAGATTCTATTAGTACATCATTACTATATCTATAACCTTGGGTCAAAGGATCATTATCATAATTGGATATTGATGATATCTATAGATATTGATAATGATCCATAACCTGTTAGATATATATATAGGTATGATGATATACTAATGGGTATTACTATATCATATCTAAATGGGTATTATTATATCTATTAGATTCTATTAGTACATCATTACTATATCTATAACCTTGGGTCAAAGGATCATTATCATAATTGGATATTGATGATATCTATAGATATTGATAATGATCCATAACCTGTTAGATATATATATATAGGTATGATGATATACTAATGGATATTACTATATCATATCTAAATGGGTATTACTATATCTATTAGATTCTATTAGTACATCACTACTATATCTATAACCTTGGGTCAAAGGATCATTATCATAATTGGATATTGATGATATCTATAGATATTGATAATGATCCATAACCTGTTAGATGTAGATATGATGATATATTAATGGGTATTACTATATCATATCTAAATGGGTATTACTATATCTATTAGATTCTATTAGTACATCATTACTATATCTATAACCTTGGGTCAAAGGATCATTATCATAATTGGATATTGATGATATCTATAGATATTGATAATGATCCATAACCTGTTAGATATAGATATGATGATATACTAATGGCTATTACTATATCTATTAGTACATCATTATCATAACCTGTTAGATATAGATATGATGATATACTCATGGGTATTACTATATCTATATTCACTAATAAAATGTTCACCTTTTTTGGAACTGTTAGAGTAGTATTCTGGTAATCAAACGTAGCAATGGAAAATAATCTATAAATGCAGGTTTGAATGGAAAAAATATGAGGTTTCCAGAAATGGTGATCTATATGAACCAATTTGGGAATGGTAACCATCCCACCTATAAAAATGGTGACTTGGGGGATGGTTTATGGCATTGTTTTACCCACATTAGATGTGATGATAGAAATGGGGGTTTCCATAAATGGGGGATCCCCAATAGCTGGATGGTTTGTAATGGAAAAGCCTATTAAAATGGATGATTTGGGAGTACCCCCAAATAATATGGGTAAAACAATGCCATAAACCACCCATTTGGGAATGGTAAACATACCACCTATTGATGGTGATTTGGGGGATGGTTTATTATTGTTTATGATGATAGAAATGGTGGTTTCCATAAATGGGGGATTCCCCAATAGATGGATGGTTTGTAATGGAAAAGCCTATTAAACTGGATGATTTGGGAGTACCCCCCACTTTAGGACACCAAATGGGTGAATAGAAATGTGTGAAAATTGCCGACAATTCCCACGACTTCGGATGTCCCACTTCCAAAATTGTGGGATGCGAATTCCGAAGACTTTTCAACGGTAACAATTATGGAAGATGATGAGAAGAATATTCCATCATTGCCATAAATTGCCATAAATTTGGAATTTGTGATGGAAGATGTCCCAAGTCCGAAAAATTATGTTTCATTACGGGATTATTACTTAAAAGTTGCGAAAACTGTTCGATATGAATCATATGGATTCAGCATATCATTTTAGGGGTATTAGGTCCATCATATGCTTCTAATAGATGACATATAATCATATATGATGGTAAATTACTTGCCATCTATGTTCCTTTGGCAAAACACGTTCTATCGATACAAAACATCATTGTCGTAAAATAAATGGCATCAGAGCCATTGAAATGCTTGAACTGGGCTGCTGGGCTGTGAACTCATGCAACATTCCCGTTTCATGGGGTGTATGCCGTCAATGTTCAGAGATAGTGATTTCTTCATCGAGATCATTTGGGTTTCTTCAAGATGTGTGAAATGGTTATTGTTTGACCCTCAAAAGTGAAATTCAGGACTAGTCGGACTAGCTCATTTTTGGGGAAAGCCTAACATCCATTGAATCCATTGGTCCAAAGCCTATGTTTATTTATCCAAATCCCTTATGTTTCAGCATTGTTGCTGGTGAAATCTCCATTTCTGATGGTTAGATCCCTAGATTCTCTAAATCCTTCACCGCAGTCGATGGTTCAATCCCTCTAAAAATCCCTATGTTTCACCATTGTTGATGTTTAAATCCCCGATATTTCACCATCTTTGGGGGCAAATTAAAAAATAATTCCACTGATCCGAAAAAAGCTATTTTGGGATATTTTGGGATAGTTAACCTTACATTTCCCATCATTAGTGAGGGAGAACAGGCTTCGGTCGAAAAAAAATGGCCCAGTTTTGGTGGTGAAATCCTGCCAGGGATCCCCAAGGTCGACCTGCGCAACACCGTCGCCAGGTCCCCAAACAACTCGAGTGGAGTCACGCGCTCCATGCAGCGGTGCACCTGGGGAACACCATCCAAAATGGGGATTTTTCAAGCACCGTGAAGATCCACAGGAACTTACAATAGTCTACCAGGTTTACCACTAAAAATAAGATGGAAGTTAAATTTTAGTGGTTTGACTCCGTCAAAAATGGGGTTCCAACCAACAATGGGGCTTTAACGAACAGTTGTTTATTGGGGGGTGTGCGTTGTTGTTTGACCATATTGAAAGATACCCAATGAAACTGTCACTGCAGTGATTTGGCACGGAAAATCTATAGAAAGTGCAGTGGCGTTGACCCTCCAATAATGCGGTGCTGTAGATCTTCTCTGAAACCAACTCTAGGGGATTGCGAGGGAAACAAGGACGTGTTGCTTCCTTCTTCTGATTGTATCATGTGGTAAAAATCAATACTAAACCGACCATCTTGGGGATCATTTATAAGTTTGAAATTATTGTTTACCATCAAATTGTGGATTATCATTTATTTACCATGTGGTAAACCATTATTGTGGATGATTTATCATTGTGTTTACCACTTGGTAATCTTACCGACCTAGGTGCCAGGCTCTCTACTTGCGACGTACTGAGGGTTGTTGAGATCTGTTTCGTGCACTGCAATTCCAATGAACTACGTGGATATTTCATGATATTTCATGGTTATAGGGTTTAAGTTTATATCCCAACTTATAGGGCTTAAAGAAGCGTTATATGTAACCATGTTTACACCATGGTTACACCCTCAACTGCACCCCTTACCGCATGGTCATTATGGATACAAACAATCCACGGATGATGAACCTGGAAGATCTTGGAAGGCCATGAAAAGCCAACATAATTTAAGGATCCAATAATGTTCAATAAACCCTGGACAAAGATTGATGGTGATCAATGCTCCCACGACCCCCCTTTTACTTTCGAAGATGGCGAAGCTGGCCATGCTGGGAGAACAACTACTCCACATAGATGGATGTTGGGTATGGCCCGGTATGGCTCAAAATTCCATGTGTACCCTCAAATTAGATCGCTTAATCAAGGAACCACAGGAAAACATGACCAAAAAACCTAGCCCTCCAAGAAAATCTCAAACTGCGACCAATAACAAGATTGGTTCTTCCAAGAACAAACAATTCAGGCATGGCTCGTTCACTGCAGATGATCTAAACTGGAGCCTTGACACTGACATCTGTTGACCCTGGCTCCAGTCGGTGCACCTGTGGGATGACGCACATCTGTCTGGGTCGGGATGGACATATCATCGTCCGCTGTGCTATGTGCAAACCTCGGCGGGGCCAGGGCCCCAGGGCCCCAGGGCGGACCCCGAGATGTGGCCATAAATTGCTGCCCAAAATGGTAAACGTTTACATAGCTATCGAAAATCACCATTTTGAATAGGTAAATCAACGAACTAAATGTGATATGTTCAATAGCTATGTAAAAAAAAATTACCAGAGGGTAGAACTGATGATCAACCGTAGGGGTTTGAGAAATGTTGAGAATCCCATTGCTGAGACATAATCATATCCTATTGCTGAGATTTGTTGAGGCTGTTGGCCGCCGTCCTCTGATCTTCTACCCAAACCGTCCTGTTCTTTGGACAGAACCACATTTTGATCCATGCCCAAATTGGGAGGTGTGTTCCCATGTGCAAGCCAAATCCATCGTTGCTGGTATCGCCATGTTCTGCCGGTTCCATTTCCAAATGACTCGACGGAAATCCACTTGTGTATGGCAATCATTTGGTGGGCCCTAAAAACGAGAGGCTTCGCCATCATGAAGACTGACCAGCCAATGGTTGAAACTAGGCTAACAATTTTGATAGCTATTGTCGCTAGTTGATATCCCCGTTTTGTGTTGGTTGTGCGTAGAAACCAATTGCCATATTCTTGCGGGTAACATAAGCCAGACTTTCTGTGGCCAATCTGTGATACCAAGAGTTCAGCAGGTCAGCAGGTCCGCAACCCATATCCAGCGGACACGCTGTGAACATCCCGGGCTTCCTACGGGACCCACGGCTTCGCAACCTGAGTTCACGATTTGGAACCAACAAAAAGTGGATCTGAACCAGCAAACACTTCGGGAATGGGGATTACCCTCTGGAAAACTAACATAGCTATTGAAAATGGCCATACTCATAAAAAATGGTCATTTTCCATAGTCATGTTAGTTTACCAGAGGGTAATTAGTTTACCAGAGGGTAAAACTTGAGAGGTCTTTCAAAATCGAAAGTCAAATGAGCAGTGTCAAAAAAAATGACAATTTCCCCAAAACAATGGTTGGAATCTCTCTATTTACAGGTGACAAAAGCCTTGTTGTTTATTCTGGTGAAACTCCGTAGGGTTCACGCCTGTGGTGTAGACTGCGGTGAAGGAAAGCCCCTGGCGATGCGGTCACATCTGGTCTGGCAACATGAAATCCCAAACCAAACGGGGAAATCCCGGGAATTCGAATGGGAAAATCATCGAGCGAAATGGGGAAGTGTGAAAAATGTCCATGTTTGATGATCAAAATGGACATTTCTGGTGCGAAAACCATGCTTCAAACAATTCCAAAGCCAATGAAAAAGGGGGATTCAGAAGTAACTTTTCAGGGCTCCGAATCCCCATCTCAAGCAACATCTCCACCTTGGAAATGTGGGTCAGTTCACCTTGGGACCCTTCTGTTCACCCCTTTTGGACATGTTCCTGCCCCAATATGATATCTCATAGGTTTTGAACCCCCATTTGATGTGTTTCTGTTGAAATGCGTTTCTCTTGCCATGTTGGTGTGCTTGTGTGCAAAAAAAAGAAAATAAAGATCCATCTTTCTCCACAATTCTCTCACCTGGATGTGGGTAAAAAACCCTGCACCCCCAGTGAACCTCGAGGTTGATGGTCATCCCTTATACCACATGATTAGTAGGTTTTGACCCATACCCACCTTTCCTTTGCCGAGTTTGAAAATTACATGCCAACAGCCACAAGCGCAGCGGCTCGCCGCATGCTTGAGGGCCCTGTTTACCTTGGTCCAGCGTTGCGATCGAAGAGTGGTGCTAATGTACAGCCAACCATATAGTAACCATAGTAACCATAGTAACCATAGATAACCATAGTATGATACGAGGGGTTTGTCGGAAAGAATGAGTGGCTGATTCGCCTGATCACGGAAACCCCCCATTTTGTGGCAAGTTTCATGGCAAAAATTGGTGGAACGACCATGGACCAGCGACTTTTTGGGTGTGGCTCGTGAATCTTCAGACAACATCCTTTGGGAAAGGTGTTCCAATTTAGATTTCCAAATGGTGCCGATTCGGCATGGGCTTAGAAAACTGCGCCCAGGTGCAGTTCCAGTTCTCAGCGGTGATTCCTGAATTACTTCGGTTGATCTGGGTTCAAGTTAGCCCAAAAAAGGCCATCCTTCAATGACCACGAACACCCACGAACTGAGAATCCCCAGGTCGCCGCAGCATCTCGTTTCTTGCTGATGGAACTCCTAGTGCCAAGTCGCTCGATTCACACACCTGCCATTCGGAGGCGTCCACCTGCGGCTCTGAGGCAGCCATCCAAAGATCAGGCAGCTGCCAGGTTATGTTGTCACACTGCTTGGCAAAGAAAAATGTTACACTAAAATGGCAAAGTGTGACTTTTCAAAGTAACCCTGGTATAAATTCACAGTTCTATGGCCAGAGTTGCTTTTGAATCATCCTGAAGATTTACCGGACATGGGGTTTTTGTACGTTTTTGTCATGTGCGTTGGGACTACCCCCTGCCATCTCCAAGAGCCAGACATCGATGACTTCTTCCTCCTCGGGTGGCTCCCTGCAGATTTTTCGCAGATTTTGGATGGGTTTGGATGATGATCCGAATCTACCCTAGCATAGCCATGGAAAATCACCATTTTTAATAGGTAAACCCAGGTAAACCATCTATAAATGGGCCATGTTCCATGGCTATGTTAAATAACCAGAGGGTAAATAGTGTTACCCTCTAGCAAACATGGCTTAAGCTGGAAAATCCCCCAGGAATACTTCGAGGATTTTCCGATTCAACCATCCAAAAATCTTCTTTGGATAGTTCAGGGATGTCCAATGGTCCAATTACCACGTTTGATTGCCAAAATATCATATATATATATATAGTGACTATAGTGGTTTTGAGCCAATGCCATACACCGGAAAACTTGCCATAGCTGGTACACACCACATCAAAATTTTCAACGGAATGACCCAAAAAAATCTTCTCACAGATTCCAGAACTCGTACGCGAACGCGTACGCGTACGCGTACCGGCCTGTAGATACACTCCGGCAGGCTGCTCAAAACCTGCGGAGACGAGCCATGGAATTTTCAAGCCTCAGAATCCCAATTTGGGGGGGTGAAAATGGTGAAAATTGTGAAAATCTTCATTCTGACCAATTTGACCGAAAATGGTAAGCAGCTGGTAACCAGCGGCATAGGAAAATCACCCAGCATTACTTCGATGATTTTCGCTGGTTGCTCCTGGTTGCCGCAACTGATGGCCCTTTTCCAGAAAATATTTCTGTTTCAAATCTCGGGCTGTTCCAAGCTAGATTCCAGGGCAGCAAATCCAGAAAAAATATGAAACATATGAAACGAATAGATTCTTCACATGGTTCTAAGCGAGTACAGCTAGGTTTCTGTAGAGTAAAGTAATCATGAGTAAATCCCTCCAAAAAATAGGGCGACAGCCCCTGTTCAGCACCTCCTCCAGCAAGATGTCGACAATGTCTGAGATCCTGATCGACTTGAAAACCCGGTGAGTCCGCCATTCGACCCCTAAGGATCACCTTCAGAAAATGAGTCAACCAGTGATCAACGATGTTTTTCACATGCTTTGCATCTGTTTTTTGGGTGAAATATGGTGAAATATAAGGACCCGCTGCGGACCCGGACTCAACAGGTTGGTGGCTTAGGCTTTCTTGATCAGTAGCACACGGTCATGGCTTCACCATGGCCGGTGGTTGATGAATCTCTTTCCGTTGGAATGGGGATATTGGCTGTGGATCATGGGGATATAGGCATTACAATGCTGATATTAAATGTCAAAGACCCCCCAATTTTGGGGCTCCCAAAAATGAATATATCCAATACTAAACCATGCTTTCTAGATGTTTCTGGGGTGGTAGTTAAGATGACTACACCATGACTACACCATGACTCCATGTTTTCTAGAGGTGGTATTTAACATGACTGCATGGGCAAGTCCCATAGACTCACTTCAACGTTTTGCACCTTGCCCGCCATACACCTTTGTACCTGCTCAACTTTGAATTTATGCAGATCTGCACTGAGATGTACTGCACTCTGAAACCGTTCTTGCTGGAATACACTCAAAAGTAGCGCATGTTTGCAGGTATCAATCATCTGTAGATGGTGCTCAAAAACTACTGATCCCCAAAAAAATTGGTTGGTTGATCAATGAAAACAACCAAATTTGGTGACCCCTTGGTACCCCATGTTTGGCTCGCCATACCCTGTTGGCATTGCTCCTGCTGTGATCTCGCAAGAGAAGCTGCCAAGAGTTCCGTGTCACCTGCGGGTGCAACGTTGGCCACCCGAAACCGTAGAGCTCAACCTGAGATTCCAGTATAAAACCATCGAACAATCCAGTTTTCGGCTCCTTTAATTCTTGAGGTTGTAATGGAACAATAGAATACCAATGGTTCTTAAGGTATTGGTCGTGGTGCTTTGGTTAATGTACCCTCCGGTAATGGATGATTTTCCCAGCGCCAGCCTCCAGTTGGGAAATGTCCCACTGCCATGTTTGATTGCCAGAGGGCCACTATGGTTTATGATGGTTTATGATGGTTTATGTGTATTATAACTACATTTTTCCCAAGAGCAAACCATAGTTCGCCACAGCCGCGAAAAATTTCTACCACTCTTCCAGTTTCCACAGAATCTCCACGGGGTGACCAGGAATCTCCGCCTGATGATTGCCGTTTGGGTCCACCTGGTGCGGTGCTCAGTTGGTACCGGGATCTGGGGCACCGGTGCCCCAGATCCCAATCGCAGATCGGGGGAAAAATCTCAACATGGCTGTCAGTTTATAGTGGTTTAATAGTGGTTAATAGCTGATACCACTATTATAGTACCCACTATGGTTGGAGCTGATTAACCAAAACAGTTTTTTTTCCGCTCAGAGGCATGGCTGTGGATAACCGACAATGACGGAAGAAAACCTGACAGAAATTGGTCTGTATTCACCAACCTGATGGATGACAAGATAACCCGTCAAGGAAGGAGAGAAATCCAACTATACTTGGCAAGCAGACGAAACAAAGTCAGGAAAAAGAAACACTGCAAATCCTACTTCAGTTTGAATATTCAGTTGTCTTTTTGAGGATACCAGTGGTACCATAACATCAATATAGCTACAAACATGCAATGGTATAAATACATGTAGAATTGTCCAAATCTAGAAATGTCATAAAGTATCATGAAATGTAGATATAAAATGATACAGATGACTAGATGACCGAAAATCATCGATTCACAGCAAATCTGGCCAGAAAACCCTGGCAAATCATTCTATTGTCTCCAGATTGTCCTCATTGAATCCCCACTATATCCGATTAACCCCCCATTGTATCCCCATTTTTGACGGTGAGGTCATTATTTGGTGGATATCATTGATATCTTTATCATATTACTCCAGATATATATATATATACATATATATATACATATATATATACATACATATATATATATATACAGATAAATACCATGACTCATTGTACACCAACGATCATTTTGCTGTCACAATGAGCAATTGTATAATACGTACTTATTTCTATTTGTGATATTGATATCATCTTGCAAGTATTTGATACTGGAGTTTTGATTCAAACATTTGTTCATTTACATCATTGATAAAGTAATTTGCATAGAATAAGCTAGTCCAGCGATCGGATCATGATACAACAACACCTAGGTGCAAATATATATATATATATATTAGATGGTTTCTAATCGAAAATCCATCTATAAGTGGATGATAAATGGGGTATCCTCATTTTAAGAAACCTCCATATATATATATATACGTATATATATATCATATACAGTATCCAGGTCCCAATCAGTCCATTTCGGCACGGCCGCGGAAGTCCGGCGCCACACCTTGGCACGCAACTGCCGTACCAGGTCATTGGGGCATCGCCCCACATAGAAATTCTCGAAGGCCTGGAATCGGACACCGGGACCCGGTCCCAATCATCAACCCGAGGGGTAGATGGCCGGGGTAGATGGCTGCAAAAACTGGGATCAATGGGTAAACCCCCGGTTATCTGCAGCTTCTCAGAAGATACGCAACCACGCGTGGTTGCGTCTGTGTGCTCGCAAACAGCTTCCATAGTTTCCATCGTTGCCCACGCCTCCACAAAATCCGGCCATGCTATCTTGAAGAGGTGACAAAAGCTGCTATCCCAAAATTTGACGCCCAGCTTTCCCTCAGTGCGATGCTGCGATGGTAGGGACTGCGGGAGGGGGGTCATCCATCGTCATGACATACAGGGCTCATTGGCATCATGATCTTCAACAACCTTCAAAAAGGTGATCTTGACAATGCAGGGTGAAGGGGACTGCAAGCAACATGTTTCACAAGCCATAGGAATGTGTGGGTATCTTCTTTTGCATCTCAGAAATATGGTTTCAATCAACCTTCCAAAATCATCCAACTGTTTGGTAAACTCTTTGAACATCGTTAAAAAATATACCATCCGGATCAAACGTGGTTTGCAGGGAAATCCCCCAACTAAATGATGGCGGTTTAGTTCGCTGGGAAAATCATCGAACTCAATGGGGACTCCTCAAGCCACGTTTGATGACACCGGAGGATCCACAGGTTTGTCAATGGGGTACACTTAAATTTCATGGTTTATCATCATTTTCCCTCTTCCAATGGCGGCCATTGGAGGGTACAGCTGCGGTAGTACAGCGGCAACAGCTGGGTACTTGACAGACTCTGGGCGCGACGCCTCCTGGCAGCGTTCCAGCAGGGGCTCATTTTTGGTGGGCGAAATCATTGAGAACTATGGGAATGGGTCAATTTTTTTTGGCCAAGGGGGCCGCAAAGTCTGATCTATTCTTAAAATTAAGATCCAATTGGATCGGGGGATCTAATATTGACCCATGTTTCGCACACAAAACACAAAAATATCGCTTAAAGTCTGAGGGGTTTTTATCATGATTGAAGCCGCAAATCTTGGCAGATCAACAAAAACTGGAGATTGAAAGAATGCATTGGGCAGTTGACCAGCAAAAATGGTGATTCAATCGGCAAAAATGGTGATTCAACCAGCAAAAGATGGTGATTCAACCAGCAAAAATGGTGATTCAACCGGCAAGAGATGGGGCTGTAATCAATTGAAATGGGTCTATCATGGTCTATCACCGTCGACAGTGGGCATGCAAGAATGGTTGGTTTCGAAATAATCCCTTCCCCCTAATATTAAACACCCCCCTAGGAAAACTTGGTTTAGTAGGGAATTTCCACATTTTTTGGGACCATTTATGGTGTGTTTAATGTTAGGGTGATGGGATTAATGTCAACCATGCTGTGGGCTGTTGAACTGCACCCTTTCACTGACCGGTGGCCGACTTCGTTCAACACTGATACCTAACAACAGCAAGAAAATCACTGAGATTTTGACTCTGCATCACTCTGCTAATTTAACATCATGGCAAATCACCATGTTCATCTAGTTCAACAGGCAATTCATCAAACTAAATGGATCTAAATGGGCCATCAAAAAACCACGTTTTCCATAGCAAACTGTTGGTTTGCCAGAGGGTACCCCCCTCGGAACCCCGCTACGCGATCCGAGAGTGGCTCCTGCCATTCGCGATTCCACTGCTGTAAGGCCCTCTCATGAAGCCTCGAAACAGCGCGATTCCCCAGTCCGGTACAATGGGAGGATGAAGAATTGATAGGTACATAGATCCCCATTTAGACAATGTCTAATGAGGTTATTGTCTATTGATTGTACATGTGTCTAATAATTTCTAATAAGATTCCCCAAAATGATCTTTTTGATAGAAGTGTCTGTTTACAAATCTTATTAGACGCATTTAGACACTCAAAAAGATCATTTTGGGCTAGGTATGGCTAGTCTATGTACCCTGCCATAAACCATCCCCAAGTCATCACCATGGCCAAGGTTGTCAGGAGTCACCACAACTTGAGGAACTTTGGGGTCGCTTCTTGAGCCAGCTGTGATGTGTGGCTGCTTTTTTTAATGTGGCTAAATCCCTATGTTTGATGATCAAATCTGTAATGTTGATAGTTCAATCTCTATCTTTTGCGAAAATCCCCCATGTTGCACCAGTTGTTTTCTGCCTCTGCAACATCCGCAGCTGCTTCCGTCGCGCCATTGCCTCGTAAATTTCGGGGTGTCGGCATTCAACTTGGCAATGGTAGATAGAAATTATGGGAATAGCTGAATGGGAAATATGATGGAAAATATGATGGGCCTTGTTTTAACTATGTGGGAAAATAATGGGACAATTATGAAAAAGATGGGTGGATTCTTGTGGGAATTCCTGGTTTTTTATGAAAAAAAATGGGAATTGACATGAAGCCAACAGGAAAACATTGGAATGGGTTGGGAATGCGATAGTTACCGTAAATCTACTACCATTGGAAAGGATTGGAAATCGGATGATTCACGGGATTTGGATCCTCGGTCAATGAATTGCTTCGCATGGTTTGTTGATTTTTTTTTACAGGAACCAGGATTTGTACCCCCAAATATAGGGTATTTACTTTTTTTTCATTTGAAGCAATTCTGGGATAGAGCCAGTTCGTGGTTCTAGACGCGCTGAGAAATAATAGTGAATTGGGAACATCCAACAAAAATGTGAATAAAATCAGCTACAAGACCCAATACCATTGCTGGTTGATATCCATATACATATCTACAGTAACTCCAAAGAGAAAAAAGTGAAAAACGCTTTCTGAAATCGTGTTTTATTTGGAACATCATTTTTCCAGCGTTTTTATCTTGCTGGTAACCCAATTTGTTTCCATGGCTTACCGTTTCCATATGGCTTACCGTCAGGTCTCCATCAAGCCATGGCTATCCGCTTTCACGGCCTGAAGTGCCTCTTCAGCCCAGGGCCTCGGCCATCCCGAACTCCATTGATGAATCGATTTCAGATGATTTATCATCATCCATTGATTTACCCCCTGGTAAATTAACTTGTTGACCCTGAAAAAAAAGACTAGTTTTTTATGGAAACTAGTCTTCAACCCCTATCTGCCAGGGTCTATGTTAATTTACCAGAGGGTAAGATATGTTAAGATTCAAGATTATTTATATATTGATTTTATCGCTTTATCATCACTTTGCCATTGATTTATATATTTATTTATGGAATTTATTGATTTATCATCAGTGTGCCATTAAAGTGTGATTTTAGATGTTGTTTTTTTCAACTGATTTATCATCACTTTGCCATTAAAGTGTGATTTTGGATGTTTGCCCCAGTTTCAGACACACCAAAAAAAACACACCTGAGCAGTGGGTGATAAATGGCATGCCAGAAGGGTCTGTGGTTTTCATGTCAACAATGACGATATACTCCCAGGCTGCTTTCAAGGCGAGTCCACTACGGAAAATCCTTAATTTGATCATAAAAGTATTGATATTCCGATATTCCCAACAACGCTGTTGGACAAAATGAAGATCTTGAGTGTGTCCGAACACTAGACTCACTAGACCCTGGAATAATCCTGCTACTGCAGTGAATGGGGTGCTCAATAGTAAGGGAGGCCATTCTTGGCCAATGGCGAATTGGTGTGCTTCCCATACGGCTATTTTCGTCAAAAGCCTGGTACCCTACCCTTTTTCGCTGGTGAATGGATGCTTATTCCTCCAAAAATATGCTAAATTCACATCACCATATTTTGGAGATTCCATCATGGCGGGCCTCCAGGGCCTTGAAATTCTGACTGGAAGCCGCATGTTCCCCCCACCTCTGTTTTTGAGGCCATCAATCTCCGTAAAATCCAGATAGATCCACGTAAATCCTACATGCAACCTGATGTTTCCTGCAACGTGAGTTTTTTCTCTTTGTGTCGTTCCAGGACACAATCCGGAATGATCCGTTTACCATCGTTTACCATAAACCCACGATTTTGTTGCTGGAAACGTCATATTGGGCGTTGTCAATTGGAGATCCCGCATCAAATACCCAGCGTTGGGTCCAGCCTCGTCCTTGCAAGGCACCTCTGAATGGACCTCCGGATGGGATTCAATGCGCAAAGCAGAGAGCTGAATTGAGGGATACAATGGGGATGTAACATGATATAATATGATATAAGTTATATAAACCAATGTAATGGATATCAACCAATTCTGTAATGGATATCAACCAATTCTGTAATGTAATGGATATTCAACTCATATAACATGATAACATTATGTCATGGATATCAACCACTTCTGGCACAAAAAAATAAAAATCACCATCAACTGAGGCCCCGACGCTAAAGGCAACTGCAGAGCGGCACTGAGCCAGCGAAAGAGTTGCTCCAAGAGTACCTTGTCTCCCTTGACATCCAGGAAAACAGCGTAGAAATGCAGCTCAAAGACCTCAAAGGCGCGCTCCAAACTTGATTCGTTGTGTATGTGTATACATATAATATATATATATATACATAATATATAATATATATATACATATAAAAAGCCCCATTGATGTTTGTTAGATATGTCAATGTCTACCACAAAATCCAGTCGTTAACCGGCTCTGACTTGGCTGGGAATCATCTTTGTGATCATGCTGATGGGAAAAACTGGTCCAAGAATCACTAGGTAGAATAATGATGATATCAGAATTGCTGTTGATACCTTCCAGAATTCGTTGGTGACCTATAAAATTAGGCGAAAAACTCAAGAATGACTCACCCCAACTACTTGAAACAGAGATCGAAAACTCAAAAAAAAACAATGAAGTGAAGTGAAATGATCTCTGATATTCAATCCTTCAAACATGGCACCAATTAATTCTCCCAGCAATTCTCCCCATTGATCCCCGCCGTGGCGCGCCTCGCGGCACTTTTGTCGCAGACCTTCCAGCGCTTTCGGCCAGCGCCTGCTGCTCCAGTTGTTAGGACTTTTCACGGGAAAAGCGTAGGAAAATATGGGAAAACACGGGAAAATATTGGGAAAGATGGGAATCCAGGATAAATTTACTATGGAGGTTTGTGCAGACATCTCCATAGGCTATTTTCTGGAGGTTACCGGCTAAACTTATAAGTTCTAAGCCACGCAAACTGGGAACCACATGTTTAAGCTTTTGGATTTGAATCATCCATCGATTTTGCCTACTTCCGCATTGAGCCGTGCCTATGGAGGATCATTATGGAATATTTCATAAAGTGTCCAACAACTGGTGACACATAGCCAGACTCTGTTTCAACAGCTAAACCCCAACTATTTTGACCAGAAAAGGCAAATGCCCACACCTCCGAATGGGAATCAGAATTCAATACCTAATCACTGGTTGATTCATGGATTCATGTGAACCAGATATATTGTAATATTGCTGGTTGAAGAAGGGTAGGTTTGGGAACCCACTCACTTCACATAAGTCTCCATGTCAATCATAAAAAAGAAGACATCACCGCACATCAGAAAATCCATTTAAGTTGATATGATGATCTAAATCTTGGTCTATTTCTTAATGATTCTCAAACTCGGCTGCTAAAAACCCATATTTAAAAAAGTGCCGCAGGCTGAGCTCGCTGCTGCAGCTCGGCCTCCTGAAGCTCGCTGTGAAAACATGGTGAAAGCTCAGGTTGATGTGTGGAACTTTGGCCATAAACAACTACCATTTGGAGATGGTTAATATATATATATATAATTATATATATGGTTAATGTTTGAAACTATGGTTTATGGCTACTGTAATATAACTATAGTATACTATATTTACCCTCTGGTAATGGCTAACAGTTTGCTATTGATTTTATGGCCCATAGAAATAGTTGATTTACTGAACTTAAAGATGGTGATTTTCCAGTTCGCTATGTAAACGTTTACCAGAGGGTACCATTTGGGGATGGTTCACGAACAAAAACAAATGGTGATGGAATGGGGATGGTTTATGGTTTATCATTGTTTTTTTCACATTGGAAAACCATGTGGGCAAAAGAATGGTAATGGCTGGTAAGAATGGTTGGAAAGAATGGTCTGTGGTTATACCTTCAATTTTTGAGAATTTTTAATAAACATCCAAAAATAGTCATGCCTGCTGAGTCTCCCAGCCATGAATATGTTACAGAAAATCAACTACTCAACCCATGTTGAAGGCCAGATTTTGCTTTGGGATCCTCGATCTTGAGGAGAACTCCCAAATGGCAGGACCAAATGGATCGGTTTACAGGATCAAAATATCTGCCAGCTCAGTCACATTTGCATGTATAATATACATATATACAATATATACAATATACATTAATGTATCACTAATATACACTGCCTTGATTACATACATATTTATCATTAATGTACTCATGTGTTTATTTGTCAATTTCCCAGGTCAACCGTTCCCAGCGCTCGGTTTTTTGGACCCACCTCGGTGAGTCCGGCCGACTGACACGCCACCAAGGCCCTCTTCATTGAAGCTGCACAGTTTTCCATCTTCTCCTGAGGACGGGGATGGAATGGGGATATCATGTGATTCCCATGGGGATGGCTTTTTTATGGGGATATCATGTGATAGAAAAATACTGCATGGGGATATACCCACCAATCAATGATAGAGAATATCATGGAATATTTAGATGCACAGGAGTAGATCGCAGCCACTGCTCAACTTGGGAAGAGATGGGTTTGGTTTCACCAGTTCGAAAAGTTGCTGGGAAAGTTGGGAGTCTTCACTGTTTCTTCAAAATCTGCTTGGTTTGGGTTCCAATCATGTACTCACCTGTAGATAGAAGTGTGGTAAACCCGGTGCCATAAACCATCACCAACCATGACTAGGGGTCATTAAAAACATATTAAAACATCATCCCCTTGCCAGGGTGAATCCCAGATCTGCCTTTTGATCCTGGTTTTGTCGAGATGTCCCAGTTCATGGACTATGCCTCAATATACAAAGGCTATATAACCAATGGATTAAGCCCTCGAACTCATCAACCAGCAAGTAGATCGCAGCTGCGCAGCTGCTGTTAAGAGCTGGGTCTGGTTTTTTTCAGTTGTGGAAGTTGGGAGTCTTCACTTTAAAAATAAAAGTCCTAAAGCCACACCGGAAACCACGAAGTTCGGAAAAATGGAAGTTGGGGGAACCCCCAGGGTCGTCCAAAACTTTCAAGCCGAGGTGATCGGATAACACGGCTGGAACCCTGGAAGTGACGGCTGGATGAACCGCCGCGAAGATATCATTCTTGAACTTTGAGCCAATCCTAGATTCCATCCACTTGCTATTTTGGATTTCTAATCCAATCCTCCACCAAAAAAATGAGATATATACATTCGTGGAAGTCCAAAGTTCGGAAGTCCGACCCAGTTTTGCTTCGACCTTGTTGACTACCCACTGGTTGGAAGATAACCCCTGTTTTCATAGGAAAATCATCGATATCTCTGGTGAAAAAACAAAAAACTGCCCTTGCTTTCCGCTTTCCAACGCCTTGTGTGTGTGGGAAGAGAGGAGGAACTCCAGAGTCCTCGCGAAAAAAAAAAACGGGTTCAGATTGGAGAACATATTGAGTCCTGCGACCTGTTGTTTAAAAAAAATGGGATGGGTGAGGCAACATGGGGATACAAAAGTAGATATGATTAAACTAAAATGGCTTAAAATTAGATGGGTGAACCGACACCAATCCTGATTTAGCCAAGAAAACTGTTTGGACATACCAAAAAAATGTTCTTGAATTTGATTCAAAAAAAAATATTTACATATGTATACAATGTACATATATATATGTGTGTGTGTGATTTAATATGTTGATTATATAATTGCTTTTAACCATTTGTTGGATGTTATTTAAGCAAAATATTCATCCAACAAGATTTCATCCAACATCTCCGGATATTCTCATACCTCAACTCAGCTAGACATTCAGAAAGACACATCTTTCAGTAGATTATACAATGTGGTTAAAACTGTAAGATGTGTCATACCTCATAGATTATACACATTCAGAAAGACCCCATTAGCCAAATTTAGTCCCATGTAATGTGGTCAAAAACAATGTTATAAACTAGCCATGACTGGGAATGGTAACCTTACTCATACCACCCATAAAAATGGTGATGACTGGGGATGGTTTATGGCATTGTTTTTACCACATTGTACAATATATTGATCCGTCGCAAAAAGAAAAAATTGCTGAATCAGCTGAAACCTAAATTGGTATCGAGGGGATATGCTATGCATCTACTTTGTTTATCAAGAGAATCTTGGTAGATGTAACATAGATAGACGTTCTAGCTGGGCAATCTCAGGTACTTTCAAAAAAAAAAGTTGTTATATCATATCATACTTGAACATTTAACTATCCGTGACAAGGTGATGTTACTTCGTAGTACTTTAAGATACTACCCTGCAGAAAATCTCCGGGCAATCAGTGACTGCACCGCTCCTCTCTTCCTCTGTGTAGGGCTTCAGAAATGCCACTGCTGCCCTTGCAGCCTCGCAAGAGAGTTGGATATTCAAAAATATATCAGTATTTATTCCCCTATCCTTCGGACATCATGGTATAATGGTATATGATGATATTGTAAAATGGGATTCTTGTAAGCAACAATGCCAATACGATATGGATGTGTCAAAAAAGTAGGACTTACATACACTCATTTTTTGGTGGCCATTCTAATGGAGAAAATAGTTATCTGACAGATTATGGGATTTGGAGGGCCTCCAAATTTTTGGTGGCCAAGCCGCAAGCCTAACTGTACTAGGCAAGTTGGAAAGACCAGGAATGTTCGCCGGTGGCGGTGAGGTTTGCCTGGGAAGCATCCCTGGGACGCCTATGGGAAAGTTTCACATAGGAAAGGAATCTATTTTAAAGGAATAACTATTGACCACGACCAGTCACAAGGCATAATGCTTGTATAGAACATCTACCCTCCAGTAAATTGACATAGACCCAAGGACCCTGGCAGTCTTGGGGGTTGGAAAATTAGTTTCCAGTAAGAATGGCGGATCTCCAGGGTCGAACTGTTAATTTACCAGAGGCTATCTGGTTGAATTGAAATTCACCAGATCTGGACAGCATCCCACACGAGACAACCACGGCCTGAAATGCTGCCTCTGGTGCCGTCCAAACGTGAAGCACCTGCTGACTGGGAGAAGTGTCGGGATATTGATCTAACAGCAACCGGCAAAAAATGGAAGATTAAGCCACTTGACTGGGGATTGGATCATGATGTTTGACTTATTGGAAAGTTCACATGCAAATATGTGGATATGTCTCCCTTCTCATGGCTTGAGTTGAGCTCTCCCATAGCAGATTGTGGATGGGTCGTGCCAGGTACACTTGAAATGCTGGATGGTCCGTGTTGAAATAGCAGCTCGCATAACTGATAGTACTGGATGATATGTTTTCTCAGACTTGCTTCACCACCCTATGACTGATGTGGATACTACAAATGAACAGATGTCAATTGGTACTGTACCTCATATACACCATAACCATCATTCACCTGATGGTTATGCCCCCTTCAGGTCCTTAAATATCTTAGATCCGCCCAGCCACCTCCCAGCCCGACGTCGTCACCTGATTGAGCGCTTGAAGCACCGGTATGAACTCTTGCACTAGCGGACGTCCTTCAAGGTCCTGACGGAGATTCCACAACTGGGATATCTAACTGGGACCCCCAGTTGGTACCCCCAGTTGGTACCTGTTGTCTTGTTTCAAACACTTAAAAAAGGAATACCGTTGGCTTTTCTCAAGGAAAACCGATCAGTGGATCGGTTCATAGTGTACCATCCCCAAAATTGTACGACTGGTGGACAGTCCTACTGATCAGTGGGGACTTACTCTCCGACCCGTTTTTTTCTTTGGTAACCTTCTACAACTCTACAATAAATTCCTTTGAACTGGGAATTGGTCAACAATGGTAAACTGTAGGGTCACCGGTCATTCAAGAACGCCATCAACTTCCAATGGTTCATCCCACCCTGAAGACTAGTGATCAACTGGGATCTTGCAGTACTAAAGGTAGTAGGTGGCAGGAACCTCATGGTTTTTGTTGGTTGAATAGGGCCATTCTTGTTGCAAAAACGAGACACAATCGAAGTGGTTTGTTGGAAACTTTAGAAGCACACGGATAAAACTCTATACTCTTTGTATTTGGATTGACAAAACATGACAAAACCATGGTCTGTTGTGGATTTTTCAGGGGCATGATGTTCGTGAAACCCTGTTAAACTGGTCGGTGACATGCCGACGAACTTCTCTCTTTGTTTCAACTTCCCATGTTTTTCTGGGTTCAGAAATGGGGGTTTCCGTTTCGTCATGGGGGTACCCCCATTTCATCATCCATTTACAGATGGATTTTCCCATGGAAATCAACCGAATCCAGCGACAGTATTGGGGATTCCAAGGGATTCCCCCATGACTTTTTGGAAACCTCCAGTCACAGTGAAACATCAGTTATAAAAATGTTTGGGGATACCTCCAATATCAATGGATAAACATGGAGGTTTCACTATCAATGGATGGCTGGGGATACCCCCATGACTTAGGAAACCATGACTTTGGATGATCTTCCCGTGTCGAAAATTGGGAGAACGACTGCGACTCGCGGTGCCTTGCAAAGTGTGGCGAGCTGATGCTGAGCCTGGTCGATCGGAGCTCTGACACATGGCGTGGGAAAATCCCCGTTTTGGAAATGGAGGTTTGTAGCTGGGAAAATCAGCTATAAATGGTGGATTAATGGGAAAATCCTCTATAAATGGAGGTTTACTATGGTTTACTATGGTTTAATATACTTTAATATACTTATAATAGCCATAAACCATAGTTACCCTCTGGTCATGAAACGTGGCTCGCTGGGAAATACCGAACTAAATGGAGGTGTGTTGCTGGGAAAATCGGCTAGAAATGAGGGATTTTCCAGCAAGCCATGTTTGCTTTTGGCCAAAGGTACCCTATAAAATTAAGGGCCCACCCCACAAGACTGAGGAATTACACGAGAAAAAATATGAGGATGTTCTAAAAAAAAGGATCCTTGATTTAAGCTGAAAATGAGGACTTGACATGATTTAACACTGCGAAAATGGTGGATACAACCCACAGGAACAGTCTTGAGCAACAAAGGTGATATAACGAACAAGAACTGGCTTGGATCTTAGCAACACCAATGATATAGTTTTCTGCGGACACTGGGTAGGTTAAACCAGTCAAACCTCTATAAATAATGTTTAAGAAAACCATAATCAACCATCCAGTTGGTTTTTACAACTCCCATGAAAATGCCATTATTATCATCTATTATCCCCATGTTGGTTATATTATAATACATATATATATATATATTACCCTCTGGCTATTTAACATAGCCATGGTATAGATGGCCCATAGAAATAGATGGTTTACCTATTAAAAATGGTGCTTTCCGTAGCTATGTTAGTCATAACCAGAGGGTATATCCCATCCAAATGCCGCTGTTTTTGTCATTGCGATCCGATCATTCCGATCATTCCGATCCTCAGAGTCAGAGCTACAACGTCGAGGGCGGGCAGCGCCACCTGCCAAGAAAACATGGGCGCCGTATGGAACCGTATGGAACCGTATGAAACCTCACCATACTTCAACCATTTTTTGGGAGTTTTATGGCTGTTTCGTGTACTTTGCGACCATTTCTTGATGTGAACAAACATTACGGAAAATCACCATGTCACCAACGTGTTTCTTGATCTTCAACCAATTTCAGGGCTATATGGAGTTTTTTTTGGGAGAAATCGACTTGATCGGCAGAAACACGGAGGCGAACCTCCATTCCATCCAAAGAAATTGATCATCCTCCTGTGCGTTGGTGAGCCATCCAGGCCCCTGAAGGTTAGCATGGCTTCGTGATGGGTCGTGGCCACGATAGCTTCATGAAAACATATGAAATGTATCCAAAAAGTGATTCAGGAACCAAACACCGGGCGTTCTTTCCGCAGTTCCCATGAAACTGGAAAGGATCGAGCGACTTTGAAACCAGCATTCTGCACCATTGGGACAGTGCGGGAACCTTTGGGAGATCGTGGCTATTTGGCTGTGGGTCACCCTGAAACCCTTCTGTTCACATCAAAATAGCTCGGATTTCTGGATCTTCATCCCCCTAAAAATGGTATTTACAGGAATTGATCCACCACCATACGAACCATATGAGGGATTCCTCAGAATAAGACTCAATCGTTTCAAATTGTGAAATTGAATAGACAACTATGATTGAGTTTTATGATTCCATCAGATTTTGGTCACCACCGCCCAAAAAAGGACCCCGAGCCCACTCCTGCGGGCGGCTCCCCTAGAGTTGAAAGGCTCACTGCATTGCCCGGGCTGGGCCCGGAACCCAGCGGTTAAGTCGGTTTTTTGCGATGTTCCTCAAAATCGGTCTGGGGAGTTCCGTGCATCAAATCGATTTTGTCATATCTTGGGATTCGCAGAATCATCAATCATCCAAAACTGTCGGCAATGTCTGGAAGTCTTTATTGTGGTCTATTGTCGACCTGGGTCAAGAGAGCAAAAAAAAACTCCAATGGCCGCCCATGGTCGGATTCGGAGTCCCTAAAAAGCTGCGAAAAATGCAACGACAAGCGCAGGATCATGCCTTTCGCGGAATGCAGGTTCAATTGATGTCGCAAATTGATGAGACTTGAAAATCTGTGGAATATCTCGAAACGGGCAACGTGAATGGGGGAACATCAGGATATAAACACCGCAGGATTTGGGGGTTTGTCAAATTTGGGTTTCCAAGCCCAAATGGAAAACATCACCACCACCACCACCATCATCAGCAGCAGCACCTCTTTGGAGTAGTCATACTCTGTGTATTAACCATACTAACCATGGACCTGAGGTAGTGTTGATTTGGAGCCATACCCCATCTGGGTTTTTTAAGCAAGTGGAGTATTGTTGGATAGTGTTTGATATCACCTTAGTATCTGGCATTGCTATTCATCCATTTCTTGAGGATATGGGGGGTTCCTAAGTCATGGGGGTACCCCAATAGCTGGATGGTTTATAATGGAAAAATCTATCAAAATTGATGATTTAGGGGTACCCCCATGACTTAGGAAACCTCCATATCGATTTCGAGCCAGACCCTGGCTCCAATGTGCAGAAACGCGATTTTCAACGTGGAGCTGCAAAAGGGGAAAAGCTCCACTGTCTACCGAAGATCCCCTGCGAGCGGCGCTGTGACCTAGCGCAGAAAGCTGGAAGCTCCCATTGGATCTTGGCAAGATCCCAACAAGTTGAATGCCAATAGTCTGTTTCTAATTGGTGGTTTCAACCCACCTGAAAAATATGAAAGTCAGATTGGATCATCATCCCAACTATTGGGAAAAATAAAAAAATGTTCCAAACCACCAACCAGATTTGTTATAGTCAACAAAAAATCACATTGATGACAATTGTATAATTCATTGTAGATTTTGGATCACAACTGCTTTCCTACAAAAATCGACATTGATGATAATTCTAGACCTTGGATCGCCCCTGTTTTGTTGAGAAAATACTGACTAAATATCCTTCGGTGCTGGTTGGAAATCCCTGTTCATAGAAAATCCTTGCCCAGAAGTGTGAGTTGAACTATCCTGTGTCTTCGCAAGCCAATCTTGAGTCTCCCCTACGCTTTCTGACAGCTACCATGGCCACTCCTCAACTAAGATTCAGCAGGAGCTGTCGCGATCGATCTCACTGGACAACACTTGCAGTTGGTCAAGTCGTCAGATGGACGACAACGCATCGATACGACAGAAATATGTGGCTTGATGAGTTATGATATCTATGATTTTCCGATACCCAAGAGGATCACATCCGGAAAACTGTCGTGAGATCAGTACAGTTTTCCGGATCGCGCTGACAGCAAGCTGCTGAAACGGTGATCTACAAATCATTACAAATCCAGAGATCGCTGGATGATGGTACAATGGGGGTACCGCATCTGTGACGTCTGCGACTTCACGGGGGAAGTCTGGAATTTTCCATGGACCCACCACTACTGGACGCATCAATTTTTCGGGCTACGATTCCCACTGGATATAGCACCCCCGGAAACAAAGGTCGATGCGCCGAAAATACCTCGGAAACCTGGAGAACTCTTGTGGGGAGAAACATCATACTTCACATTTGCGTCCTGGAAATACTGGCAATTGACATCTGTTTGGAACTATCATTGATTACAAAATCTTACAAACCTCATTCGTTTGGACACAAATATCTCCGTATATCTCCGTCAATCTCGGTCACGTTTTCCACACCAGTAACCATCACCAGTCGATAACCATTGGCAACAATGAAAGCCTGTAAACAATGGGCTGGTAAGGGGATAAACTATGATAAACCATCAGTTCTTGGTGATATCAGATTTGTTGCTAAAGATATCCCCATGGCAGCTGACTCCGACATTGTCCAGGTGACATCCCTGCCGAAGGCCAAGTAGTTGGTTGCATTGCTAGTCTTAGATACCGTGCCTCATCAAAACAGAGATAGCAATCAAAATTGCCTGGGTTAGTACGTATCCATGGCAAACAATTAAGACATGTTGAGCCTAGTCCAAGGCTTTCCCAGGTTTTCTCCCAAAAAACTATACATGGTCGGTCAGACGACCCGGGCGGCCCCAGAAATCACTGTCGCCACTGTCCAGGACCTGCCGGATGCGGTAGAAAAAACATCGATTCACAGGGTTTTTGGGGAGGCGGCTTCGATTTCAAGGGAAAGTTCGAAGAAAAGAATGTGGATATGGATCAAACCGAAAAAAAAAACTCCTGTAGATTTGTCCTTTCCCGGGTTGATTCTGACGGAAATCTACAGAAAAGATGGGAGTAAGCAGCCAGATAAGGTCCACCAAAAGAATTCTTGGACCCATGCAACAAACACTGCGGCCTTTGCCCAAGGCGATGTGTACACTTACCCAAGTTTGTAATCTCCAGTTTTTGCCCCATATTTCGAACCTTGCTGGGCCCCTAGTGTACATGCGTACATCTCATATGTATGGCGGAACACTCGCCAAATGCAATGTGCCATTGAATATGAGTATTGCCCACAGAGAATCTCAAGGAAATCTAGCATGAAAGCTATAGTTGTTGCCATCTATTGGCTGGAATGTCCTTTCTTGCTGGTTTGCATCCCCATTCTTGTGGACTAAAATACCCACGTTTGCACTTAAGATAATGAAAAGCCCCGTTGTGTTGTCGGTTTTGTACAGTAAATCCCCATGTTTGGTTGGCTCAATCCGCATTTTCGTTGGTCAAATCCCAAAATTCCATTTTTTTGGGTCTAATCGCTGTTTGTATTGCTAAAAATCCACCATCTTGTATAGATAAAATCCCGATGTTGTTGGTAGAAAAAAACACTATTGGTTCATGTTTGCGGCATTTTTTTGAATATGGAGCCACAACGTTATGATGTTTTTTTGATGCATGTCCTATATTTTCCTATGGGATATGGCCACAAAATGTGGCTCCATGTTCATAAATTTAGGGTGTACTTGGTGGTTCCGAACCAACTACATGTATAGCTGGGCAAACTCGAAATGAGGGATTTACCAGAGGGTTAACCCACCAATTGGTGCGTTTCCCCCACAGGGCCTCAGGGGTTGCCATAGCGAGGCTCGCTGGCCTCGCCGTGCAAAAAGAGTCTGGTCATCCAATGTCATACCAAATTACGATCTATGAATCCTGATCACGGGTGATCAAAAAATCCCATGAATCCCTATGAAACCCCATGAATTCATGACCATCAAAAAAAAATAGAGAATACCTTACCCAAGCTTTGACCGTGGCACACATAGTTGTTGGATACGCCGTGGCGTCGAAAGAAAATGCCATGACCTAACCCACGCCTGACCATCTGCTTTGGAGATCCAGTCATCCAAGCTGTCGCTATGAAGCCCCTGCGAAAAGATGTCAGAAAAAGGTGAAGATGCAAAGGTTGGAAGATGTTGGAAGACATTGGGGACAAGAAATAACTGAAACAATCCGACTTCAAAATTTGAATGACCACCCTTGTGGCCCGCAAATCCCGGGCAAAATGTGAATTGTTGATTTATGTTGACCCACTCCTTGTGGGAAAAAAATGTAGAAATTCAATGCCGAACCACCAGGTATATACCCATCAATAACCACCCTGTTTGATGGGCAAACCCCCGTAATCGAACAAACCCAAATCCATTCTGGTGAACCCAATAAGAAACCGTTGGGGGAAGGTTTACCTATGTCTGGTAAAGTTGGCCGTGGATAAAACAACCTTCTCAACCTGGCTACATCCCCATGTTTCCCATTCTTGACGCATCAATTCCACTGTTTCACCCATTTCTGATGGTTAAATCATGGTGGAAAAATCCCTTGTTTTTCTCGTGCTAAAAAAAAATGCTGAAAAAACCCTAGTTTTCATGGTGAAATCCATGAAATCCCAATGCTTCCACCATGGAAACGCGGCAATTCATCCCGGATCACCCCCCACCTTGGCCACCATGGACAGATCGTCCCCTGGATGTAACAAGACCAACTCAGCGCAGTCGCGGCCCCGAAGGCGGCCATGGTAGAGATACTCCTGGAGACGTGACGAGTCGCGCGAGGGCGCTTGGGGGTCCTGTTGGGTATAGGCTATGTATACCCAATGTATGGTAAACGTTTACACTTTGCGAACTTGAAAATGGCCATGTAGAAATCGTGGATTTACCGAACTTAAAGATGGTGGTTTTCCATAGTTATGTAAACGTTTACCAGAGGGTAGGCTATGGGGATAACAATGGTGATTTTATATTTAATCACTCATATCACTATGGGAAAAAATGGTATGTAAAGATGTTGGGTATAGATTAGTATAGCTGTGGATATTATCACATCATGACGTATGACCAGGAACTATGGGAAGTAACCATTATAAGGTATAGACTATGGGGGAAAAAATGGTGATTAATATATGGAAAAAATTGGGAAAGATCCAAGATTTTAAATGGTGATTTCACAATGAACTGATCACCAAAGGCTTCAACTTGTACCATGAAACTATAGGGATATAAGTGAATATAGCTCATAAATAATTGTTGATGAATCCTTATAGTGATTATAATGGGGATTTAAGAATTATAGGGTTTCATAGGGTTTCATAGGGTTTCAACCATGAAACATAATACTCCTGGCGAAGTTTGGCCAGAAAAAAAAGGATGTGGGTCAAAATTGGAGGCCTGGTCCACAGAGTTTAGATGATGTTAGTCTAAATTTTACTATTCACCATCTTAAATTGGATACCCAATTTTGACCCATACCATTTTTTTGTAAGCTCTCGTTTTGTCGATTCAGCATGTTGATTTCTCATCAGAATCATCAGAATATGTATGATTATAAATAATATATATATATACATATTATCATATATATATAATACATACTCACTTCATGGGGGTGCAGCCAGCCGACGGACGGAAAAAAAAAAAACAGGCCTTCCCCATGATTTTCTGGTGCCACTCAATGAGCATCCGCATCATGGTGGTGGGAGTCTGCATTCCCACATCCCTCAGGACAGAGATGCAAGAATGGTGGTCAGGCTGGCTGCAGCCATGGGTTTTTGTGATGGTTTGACTACAGCATCAGCAATGGATTTTGATGCTTTTAATGGTTTTTTCCATGGGTTTCCGTAAGTTTTCCCATTCCATGACGGCTTGGCGTTTTTTTCTCACAGTTGTTGCTTCAAAAACATCGTTTTCTCTGGTTATTGGGATGCTCACACACTTGATATGCTACGCTTTCTGCTGACAGATTTGATGATTGATTCACAGTGGGGATTGGGTGGGGCGTAGCAACATGGGCGAGCGAGTCTAATGACCCAAAATGTTTAGGAATATGGAACATGTACGCAAGAATAATAGGTAATGTTTCACAAAATCAAAAAAAAATACTATACATCATATATCCATACAACTATGGAAAATAGAAAACTGCAAATATATGGAAAATTGCTTTCTGTAAATTGTCGTAATCGCCTAACATCTTCCCCAAACTTCCCCCGATTTGTCATCCCAAGTGCTCGAGACGCTCTGCGATTGACACAAGGACCTGAGGTATCGACGATGCTAAACGTCGGGAATGGATGGGAATGTAATGATTGGATTGTTAGTAGTTATAGGTATAGTTGTAGTTATAGATGATTCTTAATTGGGGAATGGGAGGATTGTTGATAGTTATGGAAGTTATGGATTGGATGAAACCCCATTTGCTAGGTTTAGCACCAGAAAGTTTCAACAGAAACAGGAAGAGTTTCACCCATGTCACGCAGCTCACGTGAGTACTGCATGGCCATTTCCAGCAACTCATCAAACGATAATGAAGTTGACCCACAGTTGACTTTGAATTTTACTTTACCTGACTACAGTTGGGAGTATATATTGGTTCCACAAGCACTGGTGGTCCTTTTTGGTACCTCATCTTCACAAATCCAGACATTGATGCTAATGTTTGTGGGTGAAATTCCTTCGAAATGCTGCGATGTCACAATTTTTAGGCCCACCTTACGATCTCCATTCGCCCTTACAGTAAGGCAAAATATGGAACCCAATCTCATGGTTTATATGTACCCTATGATCATTTTCTCTTAAAAAATGATACATGTGTTACATATATATATACACACATACAGTATATATATATATATACACTAATATATGTATGTATGTATGTATATATAGAATATCGAACCATATCGTTATTTTCCCTCTCCCTCGCTGTTTTTTTGTCGAAACACCGCCCCGCGTTGAGACAAACCCACATGGATGTTCTTCCCTCCATCAAACTATGCAATGGCTGCTTAGATGTGCATCCCAGGAAGCGCAAGTGCTGAAAATAACCCATATTGTATTATACATAGATACATAAATATACAGACATATATATATATACTGTATATATATATACTGTGTATATATATATATGTCTGTATATATATATACTGTAGAAACAATACCAAGGAAATCGTATATATAATACATACTTACATACATTAAATATTATGAAATCGTATATGTAATATGTGTGTACATGACCAAAATAGGGCTAAACTCATCCCATCGTCAAGCCACTGCTCTGTTTCTGGGTCGCCGGACACAGAGACCCCATCCGATGTCATCTGTGACGACCCGATGACTGGGGTGAGGCATGACACCCTGTATGCTACGCAGCACTGGGGTCCTGCAAGTGGGATGCTTCAGCTGTAGTCACCCAATCTTGCTGGTTCCAAAAAAGTAGGGAATGAGGGAATGAGATGGTGAAAAAGTGGTTTATTGGATCATGAAACCCCATAAACCCTAAGTTAAGCACCAGTGGTGCCATAAACCGACCATTTGGGGAGTGTTTTTCTCATTTCTGGGAATATTGTGGGAGTGTTTGTTATTGGTTTTCACCCCATTACCTGAATTCGAGGTACTGATCTATTTTCAAGGTTTATGTGATGCCTATGTGTGAGATGTAAGAGAATATCTCCATGGAATATGGCCTGATATGGTACAGGTACCTCTAGTTTAGGGACCGGAAATTCCCATTGAAGTCACCTGAAAACTTTGTGCTTGATATGTCGTCAAGATCGTGGTAATATATGGTGGATGGAGTCAGCTCAGTATATTGGATTAACCAAAACAGCAGCCGCACTCATCACCTGGCAATCCTTAGGCGATTGTTTGGAATGGGTCGGTCAAATTTATTGAAATTGTTCCATTACAGTCTATCCTCATGAATAATCCAGTGATATCCCCATTATATTCCATCATGAATAAAATCCCATCCCCCGTTCATGTTGAACAGCCTCATTCTGTGGTCCCAAATATGTTGTTTATCCCCTCAGTACTAAACTATGGTTTGTAAGGGACCTGTCATATGAACCTGGGATGGGATAATCGGGATATATTCTGTAATGGGATCATTCATGGATAATCAATGGATAATTAATGGATAATGAAGGTAAACCAAATAGATCCCAATAGCTTCTAATAACTCCCTGAGAAACCATCATCATGTCCCATTCATGTCCACTTGATATCCAGTAATATCCCATTACTACTTGGTGGCTCATCCCAGAAATCGTAAGTGGGCTAGTTCACCCCAGTTAGAAGAGTTAATCCACTTATAACTTATATATAACCATTTGCTACTGGGGATCACAGTTATGCGGATTATATAATTCTACTTATCCCATGCAAATAACTGGGGTTTTCACTAACTGAACTAACCCACAGTTCCACGGCTCCTGGGAGCCAGTATCCAAGTAACTGGGAGCCACCAGACAAAATCCCCCCATGGTGGTCTCACTACACTCCTCGCCATGGAGTAGGCCTTGTTGGTGCCTACCATCTTTGCCATGGTGGACCTCGTGACTGTTCATGGGGAAACGGATGAATAAACTCATGTTTAATAGGGATACGGCCCATATGGCCGCGTTTAATAGGGAAAATCATGATTGATGATCAATGATGATGATCTGTAGGATTTAAAACTACCCTCTTGTTGTTTAACGTAGCTATGGACAATTCCCGAAATACATGATGATTTGAATGGGGAAAATGATCTATTTCTATGGGCCATTGACCAGAGGGTAAGGGGTGCCATATAAAATGTGGATTTGGGCGTTTCTCTAAATTGGGGGAGCCGCCAACTTAAGCAGATTGCGAATCCCCAAAATCACGATCTCTGGTGGTTGCTGGGGGCCCCAATGTTGGAGACGTGGGAGCAGCCTCTGGCAATCAACGGTACTCTCTGATAACCTTTGATAGGAAAATTGTCCGAATCAATGGACATGCTTATGGTGGATTTTGCCATTGGAGGGTAGATCAATACATCAAATGACTTTGCAAATACACAAGGATTGGACTTTGAAAAATAGATCCATCCAAACAAGTAGCCTTCAAGGTATATAGTTTTGTTGTGGGGTCATTGTTGCTCATTGTTGCGCAGGAAATACCTCTGACCTTTGCTAAACTGATTCACCGGTCAGTTTGCCCAGTCTGTGCTGGCAGAGATATCTCACATCCCAGAACTTTTGAGGCAAATGACCATGCTTAGTATGCCAACATCTGGAACAAAATCCCATAAATTCTCTCTCTTCAAATACATCTATCCCAGTTGCGATCAGAAATTGCGATCAGAAATCGGGAAACGATTTGGCTTACTTCAAATATATTCAAATCTCTTCACCCATTGGAAACATCCATAGACTGCATCTATCCATTGGAAACCCCTATGGCTTACCAGTTGCGGGTCCCGGATTTTCTGGGTGCCGCGCTTGTCGCTGATCTGGTCGCCGTACTGCTCCAAAAGCCGGGTGGCCAAGGGTATCACATGATTGCCTTGGCGGCCGCTGTGTTATGGAGGAAAAATGCAGGAAAATGAACGGAGAAAAATGGAAATATATGGAAATACCCTACAACAAAATGGATGAAATTGAAACTGCGTTGCTATGTAGCGGACAAACACAATGAAATAAGCTATCCATCTTTTGAATCGTTCAGCAAAAATCGCCGCACTTGCCTGTGTTCTTTTGAGATCAGTCATTGGGGAGAAAGACAGATGGAAGACAAAATTGGAAAACAAAGATCACTGGAATTGTTTAAGGGAAAATCCTAACCGGAAACCATGATAATTGAAATATGGGTGGTTCCTGTAAATTTTCCCTTAAACCAATCCATTGAAAAGATTATTTCGAGCCATGGGCTATGATACCCTTGCTGTGGGTGATGCTACCCTGAGACTGGCTACAGTTGGTTGAATGCCAGCTGTGCCTAGACCCTGAGTTCGCACCAATATAAGTTGGTAAAGGTGATTAAAGCTGCCAAAATAAAGAAGGGTAGTATGCCATGCTTTATTGAGCCTTAAGTAATTCTGTTTTTTTTTGGCATGTTTTTGCTTCCCATCAAACATTAAGGCCAAAATCTAAGGAGTGAAACCTCGAATTCTGAGGCGAGTTGGTCCTACACCTAGATGATCCAGTTGCTGCAAAATTGATGGCATAGGCAGATTGGCCTTTTCCGAACTGATGTGTAGAGGATAAATATCAACCTCTGGAGAACCAACATAACTATGGGAAATCAACATTCAAATAATAGGTAAGTCATCTATTGTGCTAGTATACTCCAGGCTAAACATTGGCCATATGTATTTTGGTCCCTTCGTTCATATGAAACATCCCCATTGTACGGTCCCAGTCATATGTGATTTCATCCCCTACATCCACCATAGTTTCTGATGGCTGTTTGAATGTGATTATTCAATGGCCATTTCAGGTACCTAAATTGGAGGTGCCTGCCAAAGGCAAGGCCTATGTCAGGCCTATGTGAGGGATATGCCCCAAAAAAATATGGCTTTTATATGGTACAGTCCCTCCGTTTTACGGCCCTGAAATTTGCATTGAATGGTGGCTTGGTGGCTCGCGGGAAAATCCTCCGCATTGAGTGGATTTCCCAGTAACAAACCTTCATTCATCGGTGATTCTCAATTGCTATGTTTGATGACACCGGTACCGGGTACCATTTGACCCATGGACAATGGCGTCAGGTTGGCGTGACGGAACTTGCATATGTATCCCACGACATCCCACATATTCCAGACATATATAGATCATCATAAAATGATGTATTGATCCACTATTGTCCTTCTAGGAAAACTAGAGGGGCCGGTTTGGTATATCATGTTGTATCATTCACCAATAAAGGTGGTTCAATGGGCGGAACCCTTTTGTTTCATCAACCAAGCAGTGGGAAAACCGGTATCATTTACCAACTTGCTGACTTCTCACATGACATCCCATAAATGCCAACTGTGTATCTAGAATATATATATATATGTATGTATATGTATATGTATATGTATATGTATATGTATATGTATATGTATATGTATATATAGTATCACCGTAAAATATCACCATAAAATCCACAGCATCCCCCCAAGATTTTTCTTTCACTCCCATAGATCCTCCAAGGCACACCCTTGGGCACCAGTGGCGCGGAAGTACGCATTCTTCAAGGCTTGCAGCTCCTGTTTTTGGGAAAAAAACATGTATTAACATCACTGGATTGGTTTAAGGGAAGAACGACAGGAAACCATAGATTTTCCCATTGAATCTGGGGATTTCCTGTAAATTGTCCCTTAAACCAATCCATTGATAACATGGATTAACCAGATCTAAGAAAGATAAGAAAGAATAACTGGATTTTCTGCCACCATTTACACGGGACTCACTGATTAAAGGGACCTGTACCAGTTGCAGCTGCTTCCCCTTACCGTCCCGTAGATGGTTAAGTTTCCTAATCTTGCTGATTTCTGAAGCTAATATTCTTGCTTCAGATTTACCCCCTGGTAAACTAACAGTTTGCTACTGAAAATGGCCATAGAAATAGTTGATTTACCTATTAGTTAACAATTGTGATTTTTCATAGTTGTGTTAGTTTCCCAGAGGGTAACACTCCCTTGGGCCCTGACCCCCAATCCTACTTCCAGTGGAGTCAGCTAGCTACATCTAGCTACTACCGGGGCCTCATTCAGGCTTGGGATATGGAAAGGATTTACCCCAAAAACGGTCATTGTTTTCGCACGGAAATGGGAAGTGTTCTGAAAATCAAATGTCGCCATTCACTCCAAAATGTGGTCAAAAATATGTGTTTGCGACCAAAATTAGACATTGGTTGTTGCGTCAATCCTTTTTTAAAGCCCCAAGCAATGTCATCATTTACCCGATTTACATGTTTCAACATGCTGTAACCACGGAATGAAATAACAAAATATCCCAACAATGGATGGTTTCACCTAAAAATCGCAACGCATTTTGCACTGTCCATCCCTGGTATTGACCGTCTTGACCCAAAGATGCCCCCAAGGACTTGACACTACCAACTCCTCATCCAAGACGACCAGCACCTGCCCAGCAGTCTCATCCTGGCTTGAGATGTTTCATGAATGGCTATATTGGCTATATGATATGCACATATCCTTGAGATTCCTCGAGTTCTGTGTTTGTGTGTGTGCGCGCTTTTAATAAATTTGGATACAGTCGATACATGTCGATACAGTCCTTTGCCGTGTAAATACACACCCAGAAACCCTTGTTCCGCACGTGATGTCTGTTCGTTTTGGGGTCCTACAAAATCGCCGTGTTATCAGTAGGCAGAAGCAGATCACCCAGAGATTGCCCAAAGAGTTGTTGAAGATCCGACACTACAAACGGAAGCATCCTTACCTGGGAATACCTTCCGACAAAAAATCCACTGTTGTCGTTGCATCCATTGACTATGCTCCGGTACTCACACATTGTTTGCTGAAAAAAAGCTAGGGAATGGGGGTTGTTTCATGATCCGATAATCCATAACTTCCATAACTATCAACAATCAATTCCCCAATCAACAATCATCTATGACTACAATCCAATCATATTAACTATCCAATGATCCCATTGCCCCATCCATTTCCCATTCATTCCCACCAAGGCGGGGCGGGGCGGAAGCGGTCCATATCTCGGTACAGCCACTCCGGCGGTTCCGCCTCTTTGGGCAGCGGCCTAAGAGGGTGTCGTGTTATGGCTGGGAAATCTACGAAGGAAATGTTTGGGGATGTGTTTGGGCATAATATATTAATATTGATATTAATATCATATATATGTATATATATTCATATATCTATTGGATTGCTTTTTCATTTATTGATTTATATACTTAAATTATTTATGGATATGGTAAGATCATCGAGCTAAATTCCAGGATTTTCCAGCGGTGTTTGATTGCCAGAGTGAAGAAAGGGCTATCAACAGGGTTGCTGTGGTATCAAGTTCCCATATCAGTTGTTGACTCTTCGGTAAGAGGATTGACAATGGTTAATAGGTGGTTTGGTAGGTGGTTTTATTCAGGGATCAGTTAATTGCTAAGGCAAGTTTTTTCTGGCCTTATGGAGATCATAGCGGGGTTCACCAAGAAGTTCCAGGATTCATCGCTGAAAAATAAGAAAACTACGGATGCATGAGAATGGTATGAGGTGGTGTCCCAGCTCGTTAGCTGAGTTGGTACTGTAAACACTCCAATTTCTAGGCTTGAATGTTCATTGTAATCATGATACATATATATATATATCGAACTAATTAATGGGGGTGTAGTCAACCAACTTAAACATAATGGTGGGGCAACCAGGCACACCACCGTGTGAATTGTCCGGTTCAGTTTCTCCGAGATCAGCAGCTAGGCATCCCTGACTGGCCGCTCCAGTTTCGGAACATGGCCCAATATCTCGCCGGGTGGATGATCTGATTCGCGGGGTTGAAGACCACTGGACCTCGGAAAAAATTAGCCGTGATCAGCCACCACGATAGGGTTGCATGGAAACCCCAGTGGGGGTTAGGAGATTTACTGGGTTCACATGGAAAAAAAATCTACAAACATCAACAAACCATGGTCTTTTCCAGTCAATTTTTTAGCGGTGGTCCTGTAGATTCGCCCTTCAACCAATCCAAGGGGGCATGAAGGCTAAGGGACCCAATCTTGGCACTCGGCCATGTTCTGGCTGGTCAAGGGGGAGAAAAGCAACAAATCAGGGTAATCATGGAGGTAGAACACAGGATTGCAGAATGACTCATAGGTATTCATAAGTAGCAACCAATAGCCTATGATTCATGGTTGGTGATATCTTCTTTAAAATGTAGAGGACGTAAGCAATAGTCCAAAGCCCTATATTGCTGATAAACATCGCAAGACTACACATTTACAATCATTTACATAGTCTTGGTTGGGATATTCACTTGGCCATTTGAAGGGAGACGTGATGGTCATTTTGTCAGATTCGTTGCTGAGCGACAGAAGTCGGGCAGGACCTCCAGCACTGGTTCCCACTTCCTTAATGGAAGACACATCCAGATGGGGGAAACCCATCGACATTTTAAAAAGTATGTTCCGCCAGGTTAAATGGACATGGTACTGTTTTTGCCTGGAAAATGTCGAGACTTTGAAGACCATTCTACTCAGAAAAGCTAGAAAACTCGTTTTTCTAGCTATTTGGATGCAAATTTCACTTCAAGACCAAGCCAGTGATGCAATGTTGATGCCACAAGCGGTTGACCACTCAGAGGTCCCCTGCCGTGGGGTCACCATCTGGGCACTCCGACCCACTTTTTTGCACCACGAAGAGTGGCTCCAGCTGCGTTTTGACCTTGCCATATCTTGCCATATCAATCTGGAACAAAAACGCAGCTGGCCAAAAATGGTGTGATATTTTTTGTATGGTTGCAAAATCCTGCACCAGTTAATGGTAAACAGTAAACATCCCTTTAGTTTATCCCACAAAAATTACAGTGTTGAATGTCACATCTACGCTATTATGTAACATTGGTACCCCCCTATCAATAGAGTGGCGGATTATCATCCTGGGTTAAGATTATCGAACTCATACAACAAACGCCAAAGCAGAAACTTGCCAAAAATAAAACATTCCACTCCAAATCAGATGTTTCCTGAATCTGAGGATCCAAAATGAAAAATCATCCTCGGAATCCGTTGTTTTTTTTGCTGTCGTTCCGAAAAATCGTCCAACGGAATCCGTGTGTCCGGCATCGTTCCTCGGTTCCGGACCCAGGTCTCCGACAAGTTGCTGGTGGTGATCACACCGATGGAGCTCTTGGCACCAGTGATTTCGCTCTCCTCGCCTACCTGTGCCGGTCCGGTGTTGTCGGGGATCTGTTTGGTGCACAAAAACCAAACAGAACGATGCAGTTTCACCGGGAAAAAACATGAGGCTCTAAGTTTTAGCTATAATTTGAGTCTTGTTTTTTGCCCAGAATGAGGAGAAGCAACGAAGATTGGGAAAGTTCGCCCAACAAAAGAGGATTCAAAGCTAGTGTTATTATATATTGGGATGTTCATCGACCAGAAAAGCGATTTAAAGTCCATATCCATTGACCTGAGGCTGTACCAGGGTCCTATGGTGTGCCCAGACGGGCAAAAGGGCTATGACCAACAAAAGAGTGGGACCAAGACTGTTGTCTGATCAACTTTAATAAGGTTTGGGTAACCCACCTGGTGCTTTCACCCATTTTCACCCAAATGGAGAAGCAGTGGGTCTATGACCTTGGCAGTTGCTGCAAAGTCATGAGTGCCGAATCATGATATGTACATCCGAATGTAGAAAAAAATCAATGGATAAATAGATAGACACTTCAAAAAAAACAATGAGTGAATTGAAGCCTCCGAAGCTTAACGATCGTTTGAACATCTTCGAACTGTGTCTCACGCTGCAGACTACATAACCCTCGGAGCCTTCACGACTCGACACAGCCAAGGAATGTTTCGCAGCGCGAAGAATCCTCAGCAGAGCTTCAGCTGGTATGAAACCGTCATCCTGATTGGTTCAGAATGGAGAAATCCATAGAAATCCCAATTGAGTGTGAGAATCCCGTCGTATAAAATAGTATGAACATGTATAAACCCATATAAAGACATCAGTTCCATTCTGCTTTTTTTTTATGTTTGGCAGTCACTGCTCCTATGTTTTGCACAACCGGGACATGTTGTTTTCCTGAGCCTCTTGACGTACATGTGGCCCAAATATGCGCTGTGCAGACACGTGCACAAGGCCTCCATTGCAAGACACGCAAATGGCATTTTTTCAGGAATTGCTTGCGGCAACGGAAAGAACATGTCGGAAAGAAAATCCCAAACAATTCCAAACATCCCCTCTTCATAGAAAACCCATGAAAAGCCAATGATTCAAACACCTTTCGGCCAATTGCAGTTCTATTTCCGCCGCCTTGCGCAAAAATGGTGCCGATGCAGGTGCGATTGGCATCGAAGTAGGGCTGCAGTTTTTCAAAGACTTCCTGTGGCACTCAGCGGACTTGTCCAAGAGTTTAGATCCCAAAAACATAGGATACAGTTTGGGACTTAACCAACAAAATATGGGGATTCTATGGGATTCTGGTGATTTTTCAGTAGAATCAATAAAACACAGCAGCTCGCATGGTTTTTTGCCATGTTTTTTGCCATGTTTTTTGCGTGTTGTTCAATCATTGCAGTGGGGGAGCCTTGGTGCTGGTAACAGGCCCTGTCCAGAGCACAATGTCGGAGTTGGGGATCAGCCTCGCTTCGGAGTCGTCCCAGTCGTCCCATCAGGCGAAACATGGGGGTTGATATGTGTTGATATAAGCTCTATATATGATGAAATTATATATGTATATATAACTACTAATAACTGTATATATATATATACATATAATTATAATATATGTATATAACTTATATATGCATATATATATATAGCTAATTATAGCTATATATACATATATATATATATATACAATCTCCAAAGAAAGTTATGGCAAACATTCATGGTTTGACCATCGCACTGCTTCGTTTCGACCAGTGACTCTGCGGGATTCTTCGAGACGCGGTGGAGAAGACCCTCCTGGACAAGAGACAAATTACGCACGTCTTCGATGTAGGAATTTGGGTCTGAAAATTTTATGGGGCGACTATGGAAAATTATAGGTCATACTATGTTATGTTATACTATACTTGTGGGAAAACCATAAGCAAACCTGACGGTTTATCATCCTTTCCCCTATGAATTTATCATAACGCGTGGGTTAATCCTCATGTTCAGATCCATTTCGACAGCAGTCAGCTCACTTTCTCAAGGCTCTCCTGCATCTGTCCATCCGGAAAGCGAACCTGCGGCCCAGACGCCGAATCAGTGGACGTTTTGGTGACCTAGTTACTGAGTGGGGGGTACAACCCCATACTGTGAATGGAAGAAATCCGGCACCAGTTGATGGTTTATCGCTAAAAAAAACCATCCAAGGTAGTGCAGGATTTCTTCCATATCTTCCATCCACAGTACGTCACTAGAGTACTTGTTCTTTTAAATACCCGACTTAAAAGAGTTCAAACTCAGCAGGATATGCATCAAAAACTCATCTAAATGGCCTAGAGATCACCAATCGACTGCCTGGCCCACCTTCGGATTGAGGTTCTTAAAGAGCTCCGGGCGGCTGGTCAGAAGTTGTACCTTCACCCTGCCTTGCCAAGACACGCAAGGTGACATGAAAATTTGAGTCGTCAATGAAACCAATCAAGTCTATATCTGTTTTGATGTATCAACTACTTTGATTTTTTTTCACATGCCAGACACATTTGGGGATGGGTCAAAACCCTGGTAAATGGATGTTCATCCCACTAAAAATGTATCTATAGGTATTGACCCATACCCATTTGGCCGGAAGTCCTTTTTCGGAACGAAGACATGTCCTATGGATAGGCCGGTCGCACCGAGGTCGCAACCATGAGTGTTGCCATCAATCAAAGCAGCACAGACATGACCTCAAAGCACTTCATGTTGCATCAAAAATCCACTGGTTTCTTGGAAAACTATAGTGGTTTTTTGATAGTTAAACATGTAAGTTAACATCTATTGTCATGTTTTTAGAAGGTGAAAAGTAGAGTTAACTGACTAATGAAGGGCAAACTGTCAAAAAATTAATGTCACTTAACTCTACTATATAAACCTGATATACCTGATGCTGAAAGCATCATCTGAAAGTTTCAATTGCCATTTTGGGCTCGGCCATGGATTGCATTTTCACAGCAGCCATCAGCCCGACACCGCTGTTGCCAGCCGCTATCAGTGTCACCACGCAACTCTCCGTGGTATCGCCTCGATCCGCCGCTACCGGGTTACACGGTTACCCCAAACTCAGATGGGGATCTGACCATCGAAATCAACAGAGAATGGATGATCCAGGTGTTCCTCAAACAAATTAGAGGCTCATGCTCTTCCTACTGCTTATTTCGATGTGTCTGAATCTTTTTCGAGAATCATGCTGAATAACCTTGTGGCACGGAAAGATGCGCCCATCCCTCCATCCCTCTACCTTGGCTGTGGCATGCAGCCGGCTTCAGATGGCTGCTTAGCTGCTTGACCCGATGCATCTCGCATCCAGCTACGCGGCAAAGCTATGGAAATTTGCACATGGCAATGAAATTCACTGAGAAATCACTCACTGTCAGGTATTTTAGATCATTTTAGATTGCCATGTCTCGGTGTTTTCTCAAAACAATTCAACACATTTGATTAATGTTTGAGGATATCGGATATCATGTTGCAATCCCGTTCTGCTTCTGTCCTGCTTCAGTCCGAAGCCGCTGGTCCAAACCTTCATGTGCCATCGTTTTTCAAGCTACATTGATCCAGTGCATCATCACAAGTTCAAGTCATTTAGAGCTACAAAGCCGTCCAAGTTGGATGAAATCATTGGATATGAATGATATGAATGATATGAATGATATGAATGATATGAATGATATGAATGGTATGAATGGATTGGATGAAAGTCACAAATTGGATATGAATGATATGAATGGTTCTGCAGTTTCAACCCTGCAGAACGACCGTTTGAAGCTCACATGATGTGGCACAAAGCCATGAAGTTCCTCCAAATTTCCCCCTCGCGCCGCAACGCAATTCGCATCCCCGGTCCAGTGACACACACTGAAAAAAACAGAGCTGCGACCCCCGGTCAGTCTTCGTCCATGTCGCTGCCATCCTGCGTGGCAAGGGTTGAGGGGGCAAGGGTTGCCCCCGTTCACCGCGATATGCTCCCATCTTCCGAAAAATCAAATGCCACCGATATGGGCCCCCAATTCATGAATAGATCCAATATGATCCAACACATTCTGCCAGGGTTTCCTTTAGATGGCATTCAACACTAGGGGGAAGGGATCAATGGGATGGATGCTCTCTACAGAAAGGCCCCCCAGGGCTCCCAGTTGCAAGTTTGTAACCCCATCCAACCATGGACGATGGATGTATCATGATGTATCCACATAAATCCAAACGTTGCTGTACTTATAAATGGCCAACTTAACTATGGTTCTGGGCTTTCCTGTAGTCACTAACCATTTACTAATCTTCAGGAAGCATCCGCTACGACTCTATGGGAATCAACCAACCCTCGGGTAATCCAAAATCTTGCTCTGGAAAATGGCCCATTTCTAGATGACTGGTTTATGAAAAAGTTGGCGATTTTCCATGGCAAACTGTTAAATCACCACCGGGTACTTCATGACTTCATGCAATGCTCAAGTGCTTACCCTTCTGACTGCAAACATCCAGTTAGATTTCGCCTTGTGAGGATGTCTTGGCAGCAGAGTCGCTACGTGCAAAGGATGCTCTGAAGCCAAGCAGATGTGGTTGGAACCACTTTTCAAGAGATTGGTTCAAGGAAAATGCGATCATGTGGTAAACCAAATGCCATCGCCATCCCATAAACCAACCATGACTGGGAGTCATGATAACCATCATCCCATTGCTAGAGGTATACCCAATTTCATGAACCTCAAACTTGAGGATCTTGAGGATGGTGCTCATGGCATTGGCTTTACCCAGCATTTTTTTTTGAAACGATATTTTCACCATGAAGCCAGTGAAAAGTGCTAAGAGCTCCAGCAGATCTGCGTCTCCTCATCGTCCTCACACTGCGCATCATCGGCACCTGCAAACACCCGTGTAACATGAGTCACTGCAGTCACTGCTGTGGAAAACACGGCTGCGTCCACTTAAACTGTCCAAGACCGAGGTCGTCGATTTCTCCATAACACCAATCTTCCAATGATCATTCCAGTTCGTACACCCCCAGTGCGATATGTACTCCTTGATCGGTGGCTATCCTTCACAAAAAACGCTGTTCGGCTTCACCTAAATGGCGTCCCTAACAGCAGAATTCTTGGTCTCGCATGGCCAACATCTTGGCTTTACCTGGAGATTTCCCGGCAAAACTTGATTTGGATCCAGTGATTTGTCTTCCACATCTGGGCGATGCTGGGCGATGCTGAGCGCCCACGCCAGGCATTTCACCTCGTGCCAAGCGCCTGCGAAATGGCTGGGATGAGCCAACCCAAAATTGGAGGATTTAGCACATGATGATAGGTTTCATCCCCAACAAAAAGTGTTCACCGATAATTTTTTTCCATGCATGGCATCTATGGCTGGTCATCCCCAAAATTGGAGGTTGTAGGTGTTTGACCCATCCCCACAAAAGGTATCCAACCAGGACACCATCGTTCATCTGTGGTTCCCAGAGTCTTGCTTTTCCTCGCACAGGGTCCAAATCCTCATCAAACCCTCTTTGTTTGCTTGAAATCCATTGAAAATCCATTGAAATCCACTGAAAATCCATTGAAAATCCATTGAAATCCATTGAAATCCATTGAAATCCATTGAAATCCATTGAAATCCATTGAAATCCATTGAAATCCATTGAAATCCATTGAAATCCATTGAAATCCATTGAAAATCCATTGAAATCCATTGAAAATCCATTGAAAATCCATTGAAATCCATTGAAAATCCATTGAAATCCATTGAAATCCATTGAAATCCATTGAAAATCCATTGAAATCCATTGAAAATCCATTGAAAATCCATTGAAATCCATTGAAATCCATTGAAATCCATTGAAATCCATTGAAATCCATTGAAAATCCATTGAAATCCATTGAAAATCCATTGAAATCCATTGAAATCCCAATGTTTCTTGGTGTTCCTTGGTTTTTCACCCCTCATGTTCATCCATGGCGCCTCAACAAATGTTCCTTGGCCACCAAAGCATAGACAGTGGTACCATCTTGTCCTTGCCTGTCAGCAAAAAAAGAGGTGTCACGGGAGATCCATCTGTAAAAATTGGGAGCCTCTAGTAGACTAACTGGAAAGCCATATTGTATAGATGGATATAGATGGCCCTATACTCAAAACAGCCCATCTATGATATATAGATGATTTACCTGGTAAACATGCGGGAAAGTCCAGAGCAAAGTATTAAATTAGCAGAGGGTATAGACTATCGTAAAACCGGCCTTTTAAATCATGAGTAAACCCCCGATGCAGGTTCTTGACTGATTAGGAATCCCCGAAAAAAAAAAAACCTGAGAAGTTAACCCCCTGGCTGTTGGCTGTGTGGAAATTGGATCCAAAGGAAACTGGAAGACGTTAACGAGCATTGGATCCAAATTTTTGCCAAATGCAGTGGTTTTTAGTGGTTCTGCAAGTTTGAAGTGAAACCATGATCTTTGGACCATCTTGGCCACGGAATCAATTGTCCAAGCCAATCTAGGACAGTTTTTGATGACACTTCACTTCATGTAAAAAAGACATTTTAAGACCATGGCTATGGTCAAAAATGGAGTACCCTCTGGTAAACTAACAGTTTGCTATTGAAAATGACCCAGTCGAAATGGTGGATTTTCCCAGCTATAAAATGGTGGATCTTTCCAGTTCGTTGTGTAAACGTTTACCAGAGGGTACCATTTAAGCCACGAAACCATCCGATGTTGATATCTTTGGCCGACCATGACCCATCCGCACCCGGCACGGCCCGGCACCTCTGCACCACAATGTCGTGGTCGGTGAGTTCATTCAGCAACCGCCTCAAGCGTCGTGGTCGGCTCGGTGACCATTTAAGCCACTCGAATTGACATGTGGAACTGAAACTGATTTGGGGAATATCCCCCCAAATAATGGTCGGTGTTCATAGAAATTCCCAGTGGATTAGAGATTTTTCCCCAAGATGTAAAGGGTAGTACAATGGTAGTATAGCCCTCAACTGATTTTGTTTTAACTGCTCAACTTCTATTGGCATATCCAAGTAACCCTTATCAATCACTAACTTACGATACCTGAGGGTGGGTCGACAAATCCAAAGCACACCACACAGATTTTGGTTGTAATGTGGGTAAAACAATGTGGGTAAAACAATGCCATAAACCACCCATGACTGAGAATGGTAAACATACCAACTAGTTATGGTGCTGACTGGGGGATGGTTTATGGCGTTGTTTTACCCACATTATGAACTTTTCCATCCCCAACTGTTGCTTCACCAGGGTTACAGGTGGCATCAGCCCTGCCTGAGCTTCGTAAGATTGTTGGCGATCATGCGATCCTCTGCCACCACCTCGGAACGAAAGAAAAACTTCGGCACAAGTGGTCAATACCCAAAGAAGACATGAGGAAAAAAGAAAAGCTTAGAAACATGCGCCGTGAGAGCTTCTGTTTCAAACAATCCGACATCATTTCAGACCCGACACTGCGGAAATTCGCTTGGTGCCGAGCCAACAAATCTGGCATGGAAATGCCCTCTTTCCGACCTTCATCCGTCATCGCAACGGGACCCTCCTCTTCGACCGCAAAAAAACAGGAGTTGTCTTTTCAAAGTCAAGCTGGTCTATGTTTCAAAAAAATATAACATCTTTCATCACATTAAATCATATTTAATCTACCAAATATCTATATGTAAAGAAAATAGATACCAAATATACTTTTATCATCTTTTATCCTTAATTATAAATCTACCAAATGTCTATATAAAATCTAAAGTTTAACGTCAATCTACGGCACCTTCCAGCTGGTTCTTGGCCATGACCTGCAGCTTTTCTAAACCAGACAGATAGGGAGAAGGGTCAGTTCACCGGCCCCAGAAAAACATCCTTTATAAACTGTGGATATTTGCTGAGAAGTCATTCACGATGATGATGTATATATATATACACATATGATTCGTAATAAATGGGATAAACAGGATACATCACCAACAACTGAAACTGGGGGGCCTGTAGTTCATGTCAAAATTTAGTTGCTATGGCTATAGATTCATGTTCATCACCACCAAACTTATAGAAAATTGCCTTGCTTTAGATCCCTTCTTTGAGTCAAGCCCTCATTTCATGTTCTCAGAGTTGATCCCATTCTGGTTGATTTGGGGTCGGAAAATGGGGCACACGATTGTCCCTTTTGCAAGCCGGTTTTTCCCCCATCTTCACATGAAAAAAACGAAAATATTCACCAAACTGGAGACCTGCAGCCTGATGAATCGATGAATCCATATATGGCAGTGTGTCAAAACCTTGTACCCCTGGTGAACATCAAAATAGCTGGTAAATGGATGTTCATTCCCCTAAAAATGGTATGTATAGGTATTGATCCATACCCATATGAATCCCCCCAATCTTTGACCCTTCCCATTGCCTCCACGAGTTCCCGATGATTGCTGGTGAGACTTTTCAAGACCAAGCCCATGCTTACCTGCCATGGAGAGGGCTCAGCGGGCGCCAACTTGGGGAGCCAAGTTCGAAAAGTGAAAAAGTTGGGAAGATGTTGTGGGGATAAATCATGATGAGCATGAAGATGAATCTTGATATTCAGAATCTGAACTAAATCCGAGATTAAATCCAGATAAATCAAGATGAATATCAAGATTACCAGGTAGATAATCTCCGTAGATAATCTCCAGATTAAATCCAGTTAATCCGAGATTAAATCGGAGTATTCCTGGTGTTTTTTGTTGCCTGTGGAATCCAGATGTTGCCCCTTTGTGTGCAGCGTCTTCTGCCTTGGAGGAGACCTCCACCGCAAAGGGATCCACCCAATTGGGCCTCGGCGATTTCTGGTTGCGATTTCTGATAGGGAAAGCGTTGTTCATTTGGGGGTTTCTTTAAATGAGAAATCCCCAAGTCACAATAGATTAAGCTATACTAAGTGATTAAGTGATTAAGTGATTGAGTGATTGATTGATTGATTGATCCATCGATCCCCAGGTCGCCATAGGTCAATCAATACTAAGTCATGGTCATCCATGACGACTGGATGATTTGGGGTACCACCCTGAAACTTCAGCCGGCCCCAACAGGAAAAGGCTTTGTTCGAACTCGCCAAGACAAAGGTCCAACAAACTCAGCTAGATTTTGCAAGATGGTTTCCATTGGTTTCCGAAGGAAAATGATCTACGAATGGGGCACTTTCCATATGTTCACCTACTGGAGTGTAACATCTCCAGCAGTGTTTCAGCTCGGCTTTTGACGGCCCTTCAGGATATTTGCCCTGCAGTTCAATCTCGTAGCCTGTGGATCGGCAGAACTTGAAAGGCTGGGGCAGTGGGTAGTTGTTGATTGATATTGATATCCTGATTGCATTAAGATAAATAATTCCAGAAAGTTGCTGGTTCTTCGCTGCTAAACCATTTGCAGCAAGGCACAGACCAATCCTGGTAGGGGCTTGTTGGTCTCATCAAACATGGCCCTTGCATGGAAATCGACATTCATGGGAAAAAATCATCCAACTGTTTCGGAGAGATGTTCCAGCAAGCCATGTTTGACTACCAGAGGGTATCCAGTATCCAGCGACCCAGACCTATATTTTAGGTGATCTGTTGAAAAATCATGGTCCCCCACCCCAACCACTTGAAACCAAGCAGTGCTCATGGGAAAAATGAATTACATGTCCTATCAAAATGCTGTGCATATTTGAAGCCACAAAAAGACAGTTGTTTCGTAGCACGCATTTACAGCCCGTTGGTTACAGTTAAAATTGAATATGTTGTCCCGTATGTATGTGTATACATATATGTATGTGTATACATATATATATATATATTCTATATTACATCTCCATTTGTTATCTTCATTTATATATGGTTGTCCCCTATGGAGGTTTCCATAAATGGGGGTACCCACAAATGGATTGTTTATAATGGGAAAATCCAACTAAAATGGGAAAATCCAACTAAAATGAGGGGTACCCCCATTTTAGGAAACCCGATATAATTCTACAGATATGTTGTCCCGTAGTTTTTACGTCAGGGTTTCATTTAGGGTTTCATTTAGGTTTTCATTTAGGGTTTCTTTAGGGTGTCGTTTTTGGCTTCTTTAGGATGTCATTTAGGGTTCATTTAGGGTTTCTTTAGCGTTTCATTCAGGGCTTCTTTAAGGTTTCATTTAGGGTTTCTTTAGAGTGTCGTTTTTAGCTTCTTTGGGATGTCATTTAGGGTCTCTTTAAGGTTTCATTTAGGGTTTCTTTAGGGTTTAATTTAGGGTTTCTTTAGGGTTTCATTTAGGGGTTCTTTTAGGGTTTCTTTAGGGTTTCTTTAGGGTGTCGGTTAGGGTTTCTTTTAAGGTTTCTTTAGGGCTTCATTTACGGTGTTGTTTAGGGTTTCTTCAGGTGTTTTTAATTGATGGTTTCGCTATTTTCTTACAACAGCATGCATACAAGCTCCTATACTCTATGTCTGTAGTTTTTGTGCAGTTTACATGAAATATATATGCAATGTATTACATGAAATGTTATATGCAAACTACAATACTAAAACCCAACAAACGCCAAGAGCCAAGTGAAGTGAACGGCCAAAACCAAAGCCAAGTGAAACCAAAACCAAAAGCCATGAGCCATAAGCCAAGTGAAGCCAAGTGAAGCCAAAAGCCAAAAGCCAAAAGCCAAAAGCCAAAAGCCAAAAGCCAAAAGCCAAAAGCCAAGTGGGCACGCGAATGGGAGATTCTGGCTCCAAAATGCATGCAAAACACAGATTTTAGCTCCAAAATGCAGCAAATAGCAAGGAAAGCTGCTCCAGGCTGAAAAACAAAAAAAAACCTTTAAATATATAATATTATGTATATATATATATACAATGTATATATATAATATATATATATACAAGATATATATATATATACAATATATATATATATTATACCCTCCATTTAGAATTGGGTTTGTCTGAAAATAGGTTACCCGCAAATCTAGTGGTTTATCACCATGTTTGCTATTCAAATGGAATGGCCATTTGGAGGTATACCCTGCAGACAGACTCGATGCTGTTGCCAAGGCACCCTCCATGGTGTGGACCTCTTCGCGGCAGAAGTTGAAATCCTGGGTGAGGAGGAGGTCGGTGAAAAGCCAACAGGACAGAAAGGCATTTTGAAAAAAAAAAACATTTCATCTTGTTTCCATGGTTTTTGTTGATCCTCAAAAGTGTCGGGTTTCCTTTGAGGATGTTTCCATTTTCATCCATTTTCCATGTTTTCTTGCCTCAAATGCCTTCACTCAAAAAAATATCATCCCAGGATATCGTTTTAAATGCCACCGAGCCCCCGCTCTGAAGCAAAGTGTGTAAGCCTTACGTGGAACTCATGTCGCTCTGGATTTTTGTCCCTCTCATTTCCCAAGAGTTTTCTCCTGTTTCACAAGATGTTTGGCTGTTTGGGGCCCGTAAATATGTCATCATCCCATTCATGCATTCATCCTCGCAAGCGGCGGATCCAGGTCCTTAAGCATGTCGCTACTCCAAGCTAAGGGCGCCCACAGATGATCCACCTGGCCATCCCAGTTGGTCAGATAGGTCAGCAAAAAGCTGACTCAAAGCTGACAGTTGGCATTCAAGAACAGGGTCAGTTTTTTGCCAACCCCATCATTTTTCTTCGGAAACTCCTGAATTTTGGGTTTTAGGGTCCATCACGTCTACGTTTGGTGAAATTTGAGCCAAAAGCGACAAGGAGAAGTCAAAATTGCCCTAGATATGCAGTGGTCAAAGGTCACAAGATAAGAAAATATGTGGATATCCTGCTTCTCATCTCGCAAGAATCAGCAGAACAAAAATGTTGATGTGTGAACATGTGTGAACATTTTGCGTCTGGGGGAGAAGTGGGGGAGATAGCCTCAAGCCAATCAATCTGGAACTTCGCAAAAAATAAGAAATAAAGACCGCCAAAGAATCGCAGTGAAATCATCTAAAAGAAACTCAGGATCTTCCCCAAAATAAGTTCCTCATCCAACTCTGTTCACCCATTTTTGGCGGTCAAATACCTCTCCAAATCACCATTGTTCTTTGATGTTCTTTGCCAAATCCCGTATACTATCATGGTTTCCAGTTTCCAGAAAGGTTTTTCTGCAAACCAATCCCCATTGAGGTGTTGGTTTGTTACATCTTCATGTTTGCTTCTTAACATCCCCAAATTGTTGCTGGTTGCCTAAAATCATCAGTTTTTTCATTTAATAAAACTACCTTTCTTGCTGGAAAAAAAATCACCCCTGGTAGCATCACTTCCCGAAACCATGTCCAAGGGACTGAGGTCACTAGCCAGATGCCATGGCCAGCCACCAGGGTACTTAAGGCCGCTTGGTGCGCCACTGGAAGCGCCTCTTGGTTGGCTTTTGGTTGGAATTGGGAGGATATTTTCAGACAAGCCCCGGCTTCACCCCCAACTGTAGACACGCAAATTTCCAGAATTCAACGTTTGAAAATGTTCAAAAAATCATCAGCCATTTCCCTCCAGGAATCAAACATACTTTGCTGGAAAAAAAAAACTTGAGTTTGATGATTTCCTACTAAAACCTGCATTTACTTTGGGGTTTTCCCAGCGCGCCAGGGGATTTGAATATTTTGAATCTTGTTGGACATCTCAGATGACCAAAAATTATGAACCACCAATGTCTATGTCAGGATGATCCGCGGAGGCAAAAATGCCAGGCTCTCAACCAAAACAGCCAGTTTCACCCTGTCTGGAAACGCCAGCATGATCCCGAACCTGATTTTCCTTGAAACATCAACTGGGGGGTGTCGTTTGTGGTCACCATTTCTTTTTTTGACCAGATTCTGTTAGCCCTCTACCCATCATTTTCTGGGCTAAACATGATGCCATTTTCGGCCAACCAGTCATCAAGCTTTACCCAGCGCGCATCCCCATTCTCCTCAAGATTGTGCACCACCAAGACCAGCGGCACGCTGTCTTGAGCCTGGGCCTGGTGAAAATCAGAGCGATCCCAAAATGCAGCGACCCCTTTTTTTTCTCAAAATCACTGAATCAATTTTTAGCCCATGTGTTCTATCCTTTGGGTGACCTCTTGTATTCCAACACAAAATGGCTGTCGTTTTGGGGCGCCCAGCCTCAAGCACTGCTTGCACCAAGGCTTCTAAGGATCCAATACCTCGCACAGGATTTCTTCGGCGACAGCAACGCTAGGTTTGGGCGCCTTTGGTTCATAAGTTACCATAATATACATGTTGATATGAACCCATGTACATATTGTATGAATATAATGTATTAAATTATTACATTATATATATATGTATTTATGGTCCATAAATCCAGAAATATCTCTATATCATTACAATCCCCACGTCTATCCCATCGTTAAGCAAGCCCCTTCCACAACACACCGGCGGTTTTTTCGGCGGATCCCCGCCTCGGTGATGTCCAAACAGCTGCGCCAGCAGCTGACGCAAAAAGTTGGGCAGCGAGGCTGTGGCGTCAAAGCCATCGATGCAACAGACGTCCAGGTCGTGGCTTTGCAGGTCCTGCGAAACAAAGAAACGCCGAAACCAGCTATTTTAACATTTATAATGGTTAATAATGGTTAATAATGGTTAATGGTTAATAATGGTTAATAATGGTTAATAGTTAATAATGGTTCATGGTTAATAATAGTTAATAATGGTTAATAATGGTTAATAGTTAATAATGGTTAATGGTTAATAATAGTTAATAGTTAATAATGGTTAATATTTAATAATAGTTAATAATGGTTAATAATGGTTAATAGTTAATAATGGTTAATGGTTAATAATGGTTAATAATGGTTAATAGTTAATAATGGTTAATGGTTAATAATGGTTAATAGTTAATAATGGTTAATAATGGTTAATAGTGGTTAATAATGGTTAATGGTTAATAATGGTTAATGGTTAATAATAGTTAATAATGGTTAATAATGGTTAATAGTTAATAATGGTTAATAATGGTTAATAGTGGTTAACTATAATGCTATTTTAACATATCTATAGTTAACCATTATTAACCATTATTAACCATTATTAACCATTATTAACCATTATTAACCATTATTAACCATTATTAACCATTAACCATTATTAACCATTATTAACCATTATTAACCATTAACCATTATTAACCATTATTAACTATTGAACACTGGGAACTTAAGCGAAGATTGAGAATTCATATTCATATATATATATATATGAATATATCACAACTTATATATGTATATCTATAATATTGAAAAATTGATGTCACTGATGATGTGGGGGATTTCTATAGATTAGACATTGACAAAAAGATAGAAATGGGTACCCTTCGGCGTCATCAAACATGACTGGGAATTCCCTGAACTAAATGGAGGTTTGTTGTTGGCGAATTATTGAACAAAGGGTATTTTTTCCAGCAAGCCATGTTTGATTTGCAGAAGGTGCTGATATCAATATAAATCATCGATTATATATGCAGAATTGATATGAAACATCGAAATACCATGATTTATGTATACTAATACAGATAATAGGGATCGTGATGATTACCCAACGGATGGAATGAGCTATGTTATTCTTCAAACAAGCCCATTTCGAGATGATCGAGTTGTGAAACAAATCAAAACATGGGTGAGTCATGAGAATATTTTTCTTTTCATGAGATTTCCCAAGCATCAAAAAAAGAGACACCTTTGAGGTAGGAGATTGATGGCATAACCATTCGGTGATCCACTTGAGTATCATGGGTAGCCCAATATTTTCTGCTCGGCACCCTGTCAACCTGCAAACCCGACCAAGCTTATGCATCGGGATGCACAAACCATCACACACCATTAAACTTATTTTATGGTCATCCCAAAAACTAGCTAAAAATATAGATAGTCATTGCACCCATATCCATTACATTATTCATTGGTTGAATTCATATGCTTGATGGCTAAATCTATGTTTGTTGCTTTGAATCCCTATTTTTGGTGATGTCACAGGGCCACCTGCACGAAGGCTTCCAACAAGCGCCACTTGGAGCCGAAACCCTGCCGTCACTCGGTGCGTAGAATGTGGGGTTCCCCCAGTGATGGCTATGTTGGGTTATAAACCCCATGAATACTATATATAGTTATGAGTTATAAGTATCATAAACCATAATGGGCATAGGGATATTGGAGTTATAAAGGAACTTAGCAATTGTTTGAGGACCCCACATTGTAAGATAATAAGGGTTTTGAATGGCTATTGATTGCTATACAGTACTGATAACAAGAATAATGAAGTATTTAATAAGGACGTTGATGATATGTAGATGATGATGATGATGATGACGACGATGACGACGACGACAATGGTAGAGAATCCATGAAACAATTTAATGATAGTGGAAGGGCACGTGTTATTGTTTTGGTAGCAATTCTCGTCCATGTGTTAATAATTCGTTCCTGGGACTTGAAAAAACCTGAGAAAAATGAATGCCAATGATGATATCAATGGATGTCAATATTGGATCTTCATGATGGATGTTAATACTGGGATAGGGGTACCTGGTCGTAATACGTTTTGAGAATGTTGGTTTCGGGAAATTGTTGAAAATGATATCTCTAGGACATCCGCTGGACTTTGGATGGAAACGGATACCTGCTGAAATATCGGAATCTGTTTGTAGATTTGTACGCCGCCATTACTATGATAATCCATAGTTCATTTTTTGCAGGTCAAATCCAGTTTTGTTGGTCCAATCCCCACATGTTTGATCTGTACATATGCTTAAATCCCAAGAAAATCATGATTTTGAGGGACCTGAATAATTTTTTTGGACCTTCAATGAGCAACTCAGAGTTGTTCATTTTAGAAAAAAAGAATGATGTTGAAAAAATATTCCGGGAAACACACAAAGGGCGTCGCCTCAATGAGCAAGTTGAATCCCATCTTCAAGCGCCGCAGCCAGCGGTCCTGGGGTCGCTATGAAAACCAGGGAAAAATGAAGGATTCAACCGATTCAACCGATTCAACAAAGGAAAAACCTGCAAAAAAATGGACGGAAATAATAGGGAAACACTTCAAACAAACTAAATTATATAGGAGTTTGTTGGATTTCAAACAAACTGGCTATGTCTTGCAGTCAAATACCCCTTTCAATGTGAGGTGATTACGATGGCGAGAACTTGCGTGATGGGCCTGGGTAACTAGGGCAACTAGGGGACCCACTTCTGGGTGATGCACTGGCGGTCACTGGCCATCTGGTAGCAACGTAAGATCGGTGGTCAAAATTGGATACAATTCGATCTAATACACGATACTAGAAATAGACAAGTTCGATCAGTCTCCCGGGTCTCCAATTTTGATCGCCATGGCCATTTTTGTCAAGTCCAAATGCCAGTCCTTTGAAGCTGCAAGGATTTCCTCCACACTCTTCTTCTGAGTCTGAGCTGCAGCAAGGCACTCTTTGGCCTCCAGACAATCTGGAAACATCTGGAAACTGTGAAGTGGCTGTGGGTCAAGACCCGGGTTTTAACCCGGGTGAACATTTCTATGGCAAATGGATGGTCATGCCCAAAAACGATGGTATTTCATAGGGTTTTGATCCAACCCCAGGTGGCTTTCATTGGCCGAAACATTTCGTATTCTCAGGGACACTTCAGAAATGTTCCTGAAAAAATGACGGAAATTGCAGAAATGGATCGGCTGTCCCGCACCTTGCCGCCTTGTGCCAACATCTCCTTCAACTGAGGGAGGCATGGTATCCTGGCCAGACAGGTCGGATCAAGCCACAAAGATTGCCGGAGGCTATAGGTCCCAAAAACATGGAACACTCAACCGCGAGCATGCTTTATTCCTTTTTGAAGTCTATGCCCATAGACATCTTGCTGGAAACCCAGCCTGGCGGTAGTGGGAGACATCCAATAGTCCTGGTAACCCTCAAGAGTCACCAGCAAATATATTTCAGCTGCAACTATCTACTGCATAGTACGTAAAAAACCGTCAGAAAAAAAAACTGCTTCTTCGTGGATTTGTTCACTCTTCGAAAATGCACCGATCTTCAATCTTGCCGGTGGATACATGTGGATACACATACGAAGCCTCTGTTTGTTTGCACATCACACAATACGACTATCCTCTGCAAAGGACTCAGGCACTTCCTTTGGCTCCGGGGGGCCCTGGAGCGCGAGCGCAAACTTGGCCCGAATCTTGACTCCTTATTGTTGTCAAAATTACAGGAATAATTCCATGTCCCTAACACACAAAAAAAATAAGCTTCGGTGGTATCCCCAACAGCCGCAACGTTTTATTTTTACAACATTTTTTCTGCAACCTTCTCCGGAACCTTCTCTGCAACCTTCTCCGGAACGCGTTGAACTTGACCTGGCCCTGCACCCAAGATTCCCAAAACCTTCTCCGGGATCTTCTCTGCAACCTTCTTCGGAACCCTGTTGGACCTGACCTCTGCTCCAAAGCCTCCCAGACCTTCTCCAGAACCTTCAAAACCTTCTCCGGAACCTCGTTGAACCTGACCCGGCGCCTGCACCAGTGCACACCGGAGCTATTCTAGGCTGAAGACCCCATTAGCTTACGCTGTTGGGGAAAAACAAACTGAACCACTGGAATCGATCCATGAATCGGGGTCCCAAACATTGGGTTTCTTTAATAATTGGCAAAAGTATGGTAAGTCTCCTCCTTTCTGCCCGGAAAAACCAGCGTTTTCTGCTTGTTGTTGGTGAAATCCCATGTCCCGATGCGCCTTCTTGACCCGGTGACCGGAATTGGAATGGCCTGGGTGACCGGTGGCCAGTTCTGTCCTGTTTTCCATAGGGATGGATTATATAAAGTGAAATATCCATCAAAATATAGTTTTAGTGATGCAATTGATGCAATCCAGGATATTTGATGAATACAGATTTTTTGATCATCAGTAATAATAATTGGTGAAATGAAGACAAACATGGTTTTGGGCAACTGTTCAATAACCTGAAGGGTTACTCTCCTGCAAAAAGGCCAAATAATGTCAAACATTCATCTCCAACTCATCTTAGGCCAGCTCCATACTTGACTTCAGTGCCTCAGCATTTACGACACACAAAAATTGAGCCTTTTACGTGCACATGATTGGGAATCGGGGATTTACAAGGTGATTCACTGGGGATTTGTAGAGATTGATTGGTGACTCATGGGTGCAAGAATTGTTACTTCCGTGTTGTGACCATTCTGACTGAAAAAAAAACAGAAAGTCCTGACACACCGAATGGCTCACTGAAACCAGGAAATTTGATGGAAAGTAGTGACATGTCTTTGGAACTCCACTTTCTCAAAACCATCCCCCAGAAGTTCTAGCTGTGAACGTTGAGATCGGCACTTGATGGTGTTTGCTGCGGGCAAACCTGCTGCGGTTCGTCGCTTTGCACGATGCCAAACCAGCGGAGACCCACCAGCCCCACGAGCCCGGCCTGGATGGAACTGGGAGCCATACTGACCCAACTAACAGACTGGCTCGAGCCATGACCATGTCCAAAATATGGAGCTCCGCGGCATCCAACAGGGCCTCCTGGCCACTCCCCCAAGTGTTTCATGAATCGAGGATCAAAATGCCATTTCTGTCGATTTCTGTTGTTCGTTCCAACCCATCACCTGCAAATTGTGTTGTTCAGTCAGCTTCAAAGAATCGCCAGTGTGTGAAACAAAATAATCTCGGCTCATAAATATTCCGGAACCGGTCTCTGAGATGAAAAACGATCCTGTAATGGACATCAACCAGCGAAAAGATCCACTCATCTATGGAATGTTTTCGTTGGCTATATGTGTCATGGCGAAACCATGGCCACCTTGGCCCAAGAATGCCCCAAAACCATGGGAAAACAAAAAAATCGACCCATTTCTCATGTCCCCTGTCCAGTTTCTACTTAGACCCTCTCCATGGGCATGGGTCGATTTTTTTTGTTCAATTTTTCGAGGTTTTTGCCACCTTGTCAGTACAACAATGTCAGCTGCTCATTTTTTGTTTCTTTTTTGGTCTCTTGGTGCTTGGGTTCTGGGAAAAAATCTCTTTATATACTTTGATTGACATTGGCACAGTTTTCACCCCTCCACATTTTAAATTGATGTTTTCATTGACTTACTGATTTTGGTTACTGGGCCATCAGAGGAAACATACAGGAAAAACAACTCTATGACCCACCTCTTCAGGCACTCCATTAGACTGATGTTTTTTTGGTATGCGGAGGTTTTGGTTCCTTGTCTTTAAAGGTTTGGTTCCCGTTCTTCAAATCTGGAGAAACCTAGAAAAAAAGGAAAAAACCGACTTTACCAAAAATTATGTGTTTAAGCAACACTTTGTTGTATAAAATTCATTTTTGCATCAAAGTGTATAATTACTCCTTCAAAAGGCCACACTGTATCCCTCAGGACAAAATTCCTCTTAAGAAGGATATATACTGTTTTTCTTTAGAAGAAGCAGACACTAGTTGGCAGAATGCCTGGCAACTCTTGCATGCCGCAGATACAACATTTCTTGAGGGAATGGTGGCCTTCCTTTGAACAAACATGTTCATTTTAAAGGTTCAACTTTTCGTTGCACAATGTCATAGGTCAAAAGAAGTGGCATTTTTGTTATCATGTATTACATCTCGGAAAACCCTAGTCCAAGATGAACGAGCCTTTCAACCAAAATTCATGGTTGAAATATATGACAAATTTCATTTGCAAACTATATTTTTCTTTTTCCCACTAATCGGGCATCACTCCTACAAAAATGACCAACATGCCATTCAAGGATGCAAAAACCCTAGCAAGAAGTGTACAACCTATAGCTGGAGAAGAAAAAACGTGTTTGTTTAATACAACCGATTATCTCCCTTGAAAGGGGCAGCATTTCTGCAAAGCATCAATATTTCTTTCAAACATGTGTTTGTGTTTTTATATTTTTACAAATGTACAGTACGCAATTCATTGCAAAAAGGATGGTTCTTTTCAAGTTGCATGATCTCAAAGCAAAGAAAAATTTAGTTCAAGATACAGCAGTAATTTCAAGAAGTGCATGTCCCAAGCTGCATTTTCATGCGCAAAATGTGTTGTTTCCCTGCAAGTGTTTTACTGTTTTCAAGAAGGCACTGCTACAACCCTTGAAGGCAAAATATGGATTATGCCTGGCAATGGTCTAGATTCAGCTGTAGGTGAAGGTGTCTTTCAAGGAAGTGCATGTCAAATATGTACACGTTGTTTTTGAAAAGCAATCATAACCAGCAAAAAAGAATGCAGAACATTTTTTTTCAGACCATGCAGAATTTGCAGCTGGAATTTGCGGTCATTTCTGTTCAATACAAAATACATAGTTTTTAAGAGAAGCAGAACCTTTGCTTAAAATATAATAGCTTTGTCAAATATGTATTTATATAAATTTAATGTATATATGTTCCTTAAAGGGTGGAATATAAGTCGTCTAGGTCAGGACCCAAGCCACAGACTCTCTGGCACGCTCGTTTTTTTTCCGTTCATCTCTCTCACTGTGTCTTTCAACCTGTATTCCTTACAGGATAATGCATTGGGTATGCCTACAAATCCATCAGCCCTGCTGGTGGAGGCAACCTGTCTCAGTCAGGCTAAGATATGCTGGATACCTCCAGATATCCACACCCGGCTACTGAGACAGTTAAGCCCCTGGATGAAGTTCAAATATTTTTTCATCTTGTCGTTGTGCTCTGCCATCGAAATGGCCTTCTCAAAAGTGATTTTCTCCCTTTTCCACGCGTCCATCGTGATAAGGACTCTTCCCCACTTTTCCAGTGAGTCCACTCGCTTTGGGAGCACGATGTCTTTCTTTGTCACCTCAGGGCCTGGTTTCTGAGGAATCTTCAAATCCTGTGCCACTGACCATTCCTCATAGTCACCCTCATCCTCCTCGACGCAACAACGTCGCTTGGATGCGACTGTCATACTGCCACCAGCACGGGCACCCCCAATCATCGCTGTAGACACCCTGTTGCGGCTGGCTAACAAAGCCTGCATGGCCGCTTCGTCGGCTTCTGTCCAAACCTCACTGGTGTTTCCAATCTCGATCTTCGAAGAAGCTCCGGACTTCGCCATGGCTCAAGCAGCGGGCTGACAGACTACAGTGAAAAAGTGTGCTCAAGTGCGCAAGGGGACTCTCAGCCAACAGGCCCCAGGCAAAAGCCTCAAAATCAACCCTCAAGTCTCCAACTTACGCACGGTGCAGAACTCCATTCCAGAGCCCCACAAAAAACGGAAAACAGAAGACCCACAAACAGAAGACGCCGAAACACGTCCCCAAGGCCTCCTTCCTTGAAACCTTCCCAACCTACCTCACTTTTGTGAGCTGTGGTTGAAAACGCAAAAACCAAAAACGTTCGTTTGCATCGTTTGTCTTGGACATGACTGCAAACATGTTTCAATGCATCACTGCAAAAATGAAGTGCAAAACAAGTCAAACTGTTTGTTCACACTATCACTACTCACAACTGAAAACAATCACGCAACATCCAGTGCTTTCATGGCAGTTTTCACTATGCCCCCAGCCAAAGTTGTGTTATATCTCGCCGTTTCAGACCAGTTCACTTCATTCATGGGTGCGTGCTGGCTCAAGCACTTGCACTGCCAGAAGTGTTGATTCATGATCATCACAAACGGCTGAGAGTTGGAGGTGAACCCCAAACTCTTACCAACTACTTTTCCAGAAGCTGTACGAAAGCCTGTTGCACATAAGTGGACTTGAACGTCAAATAAGTGCCCGGCCTTCCTGAGTGTCTCCTTGGTCAAAAACCGGTTCCAAATCCCATTCCTCCATGGGAGCTCAAATGAGCTGAAATCACCCAGCTTCAAACAAAAACGCACATGCGGAAAAATCTGGTCCCAATCAACATCCGCAGAAGTTGGTTCATTATGTCCCTTAAAATGCCGCAGTGGTGATCCTCAAGCACATGGGGACGAAACATGGACAAACACTTTCTTTGGATCGCGATTTTGGTTCAAATAGACACTGCTGTCTGAATACTCTTGGCTTCCATGTCATGAGAGATACCCATGTAGGGGATTCCCAACGCTTGGCTTCACATGCAAGTGCAGACTCCCTTTCACAACAAACTTCCACAAAGACCATGTGTCAGGCTTGACAATGACCCTCGATCACTTCGAAACCAAGCACGACCTGTGGTACTCAAACGTCGAGGTGCCCAAGCACTTCGTCAACAGGTCAGAGGGATTGTTGGTTCTTTTCAGGAAACCAAGTACTAGGCTACCACGATTGACCTGTTCCTTAATCCACTCAAGCTTAATCTCCAGATGACGCGATTTCCTTGGTACATCCAGGTTCGTCAGCAGTTTCAAGGAGCTCTCACTGTCTGAACACAGCACTCCTGACATGCTATCCTTGAACCCCTTCCGATAGTTCGCATCACCCGTCCTACGAACTTTCCAACATTGTCATGGTTCCTTGAACTTCAGCGGACGGTGTATTCTATGGGGGGTCAAGATACTTTTGAGGACATTCAGGTTGAAGACACCCAAAGGATTTATTCTTGTGCTAGTGTACGTCGGCGATCTCCTAGTCGCCTCCCACGATGAGCAAGAAGGGGCAGAGTTCTTGCAAAAGCTCATAGGAATTGGGAAAATTAAACTGACAGGAAAGATTCCAGCACTCAGAAAGGGTGTTCTTCAGTTCTTGGGAACCATCTATCGGGAAAGGGCTGGAGAATCTACTTCAAGCTTGGGGTGAATGAGGCATACATGACAGGGATCATAGACAGCTGGCATGAGAAACTGAAACCAAACCAGACACGGCGAAAGCTGGAAGAGATCTTCAAAGATTGTGAGAAACAGGGAGAAGATATTCCCTTGACCACGGAAGGCGAGGCTAGGTACCGTAGGGTCTTAGGACAACTTGCTGGGGCAGCACTCTCTAGAGCTGATCTTTGCTTTTCAGTTTCCTACCTTGCGAGATTCCAGTCGAAGCCATCAGGTGCCGCGGAAGCGTGTTTGCGTGCACTGTTGCGTTGGTTGTTGACGCGCCTTCACCGTGTGCAGACCATGCCCGGAAGGATCGCCAAGGGCAGGACCGCGAAGCGTTGTTGGTTTCTGCGACGCCTCTTGTCAGGGGGAGTCTTGATGTTCCAAGGTTGCTGCATCAAGGTGTTTTCTAGAAAACAGGAGTGTCCGGCTTTGAGTAGCGCAAAGGTCGAACTATGTGCCATGATGAAAACTCGAAGGAGTTAGTTTCCCTCGCGATGTTGCTGGAATTTTGGATGGGATTCCGCTGACCATTTTAGTACCAGTTGGTTTTGCGCAACGGTGCGACAGCGGCGATTTCAAGTAGCTCCATGGAGGGACTTCTTCTCCGCGTTAGGCACATTGAGCTTCGCGCGCGCTACAGAGGAGGCCCGCACATGCGAAGCCTGATTTCAATTGACTTTCCGGCCCCAGAAATGGAACCTGAAAGTGCACATGTGGTATCAGCTGTCCCCGTTCCCTAGCTCCAATGTGGCGATTGCGATGCAGCACCACCCAGGCAACATTCACCAATCCTTCGCTACTCCGCGCGACTCCGCTACTCCGTGGTATGTTTTAATTCAATTTCCCAATGTAATTGACACGATATCGAAACGATGGGGGAGTAAGAAAGCCTTCAATACTTCACCTTCCCACATCTTTCCCTACGCAGATTCTTACTCCATCCCGTTTTAAATTTGTACTGTTAATTAATAACGGGATTGACTGAAAAAATCATGATTCATGTTCTTTCTGGGCTGAAAATTTCGGTAGGAGTCTAGAGGGGCAAGGGGGGCCAACAAGGGGCAGTAAAGTCTTCAATACAATCATTCAAATGGAGCCGGCCACCTGCGCGAAAAACCCACAAACTCCGCAACAGTAAGAAACACTTCAAGCAGTGCTAGTTACGTCGTGGTTGCCCTCCCTAAACCCTCCCATGGGAAAACCTAGTCCTACGCTCGTGTGAACCTTTCTACAAATTTAGTTCGCAAAACGCCACGCCAAGATATCTATGCACCTAACGTGAGGCTATCGCCACGGTATACATATAAACATTATCCAGAACAACGCGTTATATACATAGAACCCTGAGCAGTGAAAACAACTGACATGAAATCGGAAACACATCACAGCTGAAACGGACGGCCACCTTTTTTACCTTCTCTTTTAGAAAGTAATGGGTTGGATGCACACCAAGGCTATCGACAGCCATTTGAGTTCCGATGGCACCGAGTCGTAAAGCCCCCTAAGGTGTGGGAGGGTGGGCTAAAAAAGTTGCACCAACCCTAACCGATTGATCCACTGAGAAATGTGACGGATGTCAAATAAACATCATTGAAAGACTGTACAATTTAAAGGAATCCAGATTTGTTTGTACAATAAAAACTCGATAAGTTCCAAGACAAGTGAAGAAAGATTCAAGTAGAAAACCAGGTAGTTGTGGTTTCACCGGACGGGATTTACACCATCAAACCTCAATTACCTGTTTACCTTCCAGTAAACCAAAGTCCTTTCCCGGTAGAACAAGGGTGTCCTACAAAGTTGTTTTGGTTTAAGGTCTGGAAGTAGATTCAACACTTCCGAGTGTCCAACATATGAACAAACACCGGGGACACCGCGTAACGCAGGACCGCGTGGGAGAGTAGAGGAAACCAGAGTAAGAAACCGGAACACGCTACAAGGTCAATACCGGACCCAGGAAGCGTATTACTTACTCACAAACACACAGTCGCAACACGTCGCGAATGCGTGCTAGTTACGTCGTGGTTGCCCTCCCTAAACCCTCCCATGGGAAAACCTAGTCCTACGCTCGCGTGAACCTTTCTACAAATTTAGTTCGCAAAACGCCACGCCAAGATATCTATGCACCTAACATGAGGCTATCGCCACGGTATACATATAAACATTATCCAGAACAACGCGTTATATACATAGAACCCTGAGCAGTGAAAACAACTGACATGAAATCGGAAACACATCACAGCTGAAACGGACGGCCACCTTTTTTACCTTCTCTTTTAGAAAGTAATGGGTTGGATGCACACCAAGGCTATCGACAGCCATTTGAGTTCCGATGGCACCGAGTCGTAAAGCCCCTGGTCCGCTGGTGTCATCGATTTACCAAGGGCCCAGTCCTTCCTTTTTCCTCCTTTTTGTATTTTGTTCCACAGGTGTGGTTTCCGACTTCCTTTTCTGCATTTCCTCGTGAAACTCCTTTGCATGCAATAAGAAATCCGAAAGAACATGCCATGTCTGCTCAAAGGGTTTCCAACGCACACGCAAACTCAAGTCAAAGCTATCAAATTTCATGTTGGAAAGGTCATCAGCTAATTGGTTCTTGTCTCTCCTCAACCAATCAAGCATCAAACAGCAATTACCGATTCTAAGTGACTCCGAGAGCTCCATCACCAGTACCGTGAGCGGGAACTTGGTGCTCATCCACTTCGCCACCGCATATGAGTTCCCCAAATTGTCTGTTTTGCCCCTGATCCAACACTTTGCTTTCGAGCCCTTTGGAAAGTACGGCATCCAAAGTTTGACAGCTACAAGGGTTGCAAGAAGTTCCAAGGAGGCAATCAGTCTCTTCGGATCCTTTCTAAGTTTCAACCAGCCGGCCCAGTCAGCCGTGATCTCTTCAGAGAACCAAGCCAAAATTTTGCCATGCTTATCTTGTTGATATCCACCTATCCAGGCTCCATCTTCTGTCGCTTTCGCATCTGTGAAGAAGAGCAACTCCTCTTCCACTTCACCTTCAACTTTCAAGGGTGGAGGTTCCTGCAATTGGCCTCCTTCTTTGAACCTTCGTGCAAGAAAAAGTAATATGGCCCTGAGCATTGCCGGCAACTTCAGTTGTCCCCTCTTGTTCCTTGTAGCCGCAGCCCAACTGTAGAGCGGCCCCAGGAAGGGTTTCTCCCAGTGTAATGCCAGTGCCGCAAATCCCAATCGCCCCAAGCCTTGCTCGAAAAATTTTGCTGTGGTGTTGCCTTCCTTTGCAAGCTTTAAAACCCAGTTACACATCCAGTCAGCTCTCCTTGGGGAGAGCCCAAGCTTGTAAGTAGTGTAGTCTGTATACAGACCTATCCACTCAACGCGCAAACCACCACGTTGCTTTGCCCACTTGAACGGGAAACCCAAACAAGAAAGAAAGAGGAAGGCCAGTGTAATGCCTCTCCGTCCACCAGGGCTAGCAGCTATGGCCTCAACATCATCCGCAAAAATCAAAAGCTCGATCGGCATCTGTGGCCCCAAGAGTTCGTGTACCAGTCTAACGCCAGACCCCGCTATCCTTGACCACCAGTAAGAAGCACATGCCAGTCCAAATGTGCCCACATTGTTTACATATATATAGGGGTCCTCATCGCTCACACGACACGCTAAGAGACCACGTTCTTCGGGTGCATGAAGGAAACGTCTGTGAGCTTTGCTGATATCACCTACAAGACTGAAAACCGAGGCCCTGAGCATCTGGAAATAGGCCAACAAGTATTGTTTCTCCCTAGCACTTGGACTCCTCACCTTATCTCTGCACCTGATACGATTGTTGACCTTTGTACCGTGGGTCGCATCATGGATGACCCGCCGCTTCCCTTGGTGGTTTTCTTCCACCAACACTGCCAGTGAGGATATGGCTAAACGGCCACCAAATTTTTGCTTTGCCTCTTCCAGTGTGAGCCTTTCCATCAAGCCCTCGTTGCATTCCTCCTCAAATTGCTGTCTAACAAAGCTCTGGTGGGCCTCTACAGACTGATAGTTGGATCTCCAAACCTCCTCCTGCATGTGCGGGTCATCTTCCAGCTTCCATGTTGTCTGCTCTTCAAAAACGTGTGGAGTTCTTGGGAGCGGTATGTCCACCCCTACCGGAAAGCCTCGCTCTCCCTGCATCAAGAATTCTCTATCCACATCACCGGAGAAAGCAAGTAGCTCCTTAAGAAGCCTTAAGTAAAAAGGTTGCCCCGGCGCCTTGAACTCCAGGTCCTCTTGAGCGCTGCCGTGCTGTTGTAGCTTCCTAACCCAGAGTTTTCTGATGCTGTCTTTGAGGACCTCGTCGCAGACTATGTCACATCCCTGCTCCCCTTTCACCGCCATCTCAAAACAAGCACGATCCAGCTTCTTGTCATCCCCCAGGTGTTGTAATATCAAATCTAATGTCTCGCCGCGCAACTCTGTCCAAAAACCATTTTGACTCCAAACTCTTTTGTCGATGTCCCACCTCCCCATTGAGGGGAGTCCTGCCCCGTCATGAAAAAATCTTTCCCTACCAGGTTGCTGACATTGTCTGGGCTGTCCAATTCCTCCAAAAAGTTTGTCCCCATCCGGCTGTGAAATGGGGAAATCTGTCCTGTCTGAGTTTGTCTTGCCCCCATCTTCAGCGATGACAGGACTTGCACTGTTGCGCAATGTAAATTTTTCCAAAATAGTTTTTGCAACCCATTCACAAAACGATGATGGCCATTGTTCTGAACCCGTTGTTGCAAAAACAGAACCTGCTGCTCCTACCAGTTGTCTCTGTGCCGACCGCGCCTGTAGTGGCCCCTTATAAAAACCTTGTTCATCAAAGCATGGTTGTCCTTTGCAGAAGGCTCCATGCCCATTGTCAACATTTGCAAGTAGGAGTCTAGTGGGCTTCAAATAATCGGTTCCAAAATCCAGTTGATGAAAAGCCACTGTGGTCACCTGCTCCAACTGTAACAGTGATGTGAACTGCTCCCATTGCCACATGCTTGCAGGCCTGACTCCATAGTTTTCTCCGCTGCGCATGGCTCCCAGGTCCTCCGGGTTTTCAAAAATTGCAATGCCCTGTTGTTTCGCTTGCAGCTCAAAGCCCTTGAAAGTGAAGTCTGCCATGGTGTTCCCCCACAACGCTCTTTTGCGCTCGGCCCATGTGAGTCTACTTAGGCCTCTGGGGAATCTGTATGATCGGACCGGTCGCGGTCCACGCCTGTTCGCCCAAACCACTCTTGAGAAGGTACTGCACGGTGGGCTGAATAAAACTGCATCATAACGTCCTGAAGCTATTTTGTTTAACAAGCGCTGTTGGACTTCTTTTTGTGTGAGGTCCAAGAACGGCCGCACTTGTATGTCGACCATTTCAACCTCGACTGCAACACCATATCTTTTCGAAAGTTTGCGCAGCCATGATGAAACTGAATTCTTCCTGGGTCTTCCAGAAAAAATATAAAGAACCCTGCAAACTTGCTTCGAAGTTGAGTCCTTACTGCATGCAGGTTGATCCAACTTTGGTCAGTGTGCCCCGGTCGTGTCTGGGGGGCTCTTCTCCTCTTTGCAATTCAGGGCGTTGTGTCCCTTCTTGAAACATCGATTGCAAACATGTGAGAACTTGCACTTCTGGTAGCTGCACTTTCCCTGATTGAAACGAAAACAGATCTTTGTGCCATCCGGTGTAACACCACTTCCTTTGCCCTTCGACTTGCCCTTTGCACTTGGGGATTTACCGTTCTTCCCCTTTCCTTTGGGGTTCCACTCTCCCCAGTTCTGCTGCGGATAGGATCTCTTGCTGTAAAGTGCAAGCGGAGTGATGAAGTGACGTTCCTTGGTCGTAGGGCACTTCCAAGCTTGTTCCAAGGCTTTCCCAAGTTGTAAGTGATCTGTCACCATCAATGCATACGCCCTCTTACGTATGGCTTGCTCGTAAGAAAGCACCAGTGCCCAAGGTGGGGTCTGCACTTGGTTCCCATGCAAATCAGTTGATGAAAGTCCCCACACATAGTCACCCAAAACATAGTCCTTGTATCGTTCGAAAAGATCACGTGTGACGTCCTGGATCTCCTCCCTGTTGGGATGCTTGATGGCCAACATGAGGATTGCATTGACCATGACCGACAGCCTACGTCTAAGCTGCTCAGGTCCTGTAGGCAAAGGAATTGTAGAAGCCCCTTTTCTGACTGAAAGGCTCCCCTTCGCATCAAACACTGGTATCATCACGTCAGGATCCACCTCATCCTTTGAAACTACTTCGGCCATTGTCTCGGCCCTGAACTCCCCATTCTCCAACTCCTGCAGCTTCTTCTCTAGATACTCCTTTGAAGGAGTCACTTTGTCTTCCAACCTTCCATGCACCTTCATGTAGGCGTTTCGCATGTTGATATAGTCTCCAGTCGGAATGGGTTTTGTCCATTCACGTGTCTCCATCTCAGCCTCTACCTCCACCTGTCTCTTTTGACGCGTCTGTGTTTCGCGCCAAGCACAAATCACTGCTGCTACCTGTGCTCTAGCTTGTAAACTTGTATCTGCATCCGTGTTGAACTCGGCTCTCAAAACTCTGACCAAATCATCCTCCGATCTGAAGAAGGATGAAAACTTTTGTATCGATGTCACATCATTTCTATAGAAGCCAGCCTGTAACTCGTTCGACACGTCGTTCCTCGTGAGGATAAACTTCAGGTCTGAACTGCCCCTTTTCAACGCTTCCTGCAGAGCAATCTCCTCTGGAGAGGCCATGCTGTCGAGCGCTGGCGCAAAGGTTCAGAAGCCTATTCATGTCATGTATTGTCAAAAGGCCTATTCCTAAATTTTGCAGACATAAACCTGCCATCCAAAACGACCTAAAAACAGAAACGCTTCAACAAGTGATGGTTCAGTCTCCCCTTTGTTTGGTGCACATGCCGATCCCTTTTGAAGTTTCATCAGCTTTTTGAGCTGAGCTTAAACCGGAGAAATCAGCGGATCTCTCAATGTTTTGTCCATGCAATTCTTTCCGGCATGGAATACACAACTGCATTAAAATCATGATCAGCTTCCTCCATTTTCATTGACTTCCAAATTGAACAATTCCGGTCAAATGAAATCCACCGACTGATCAGCACTTGCAGCTTTAACCAAATGTTTTTCCTCCGGGTGAAATGCTACCTTTCCACCTGTCCCGTTTGGGATGATGCACTCAAACAAAACTAAACTAATCACTGGACTGTCCTGATGAGCTGCTGGCACTTCGTGAGCTCGAAGTGGAGGAAGACGAAGAAGAATCAGAAGTGGCTTTGCTTGGCCCTGATTTAGGCCAACAGACCTTGCAGTAGTGTGTATAGTCTCCTGCCTCAGGCATGGTGAAATACTCCGTAGCTGATTTAAAATTCATCTCTCTTCCCATCCAGCAACCGCCACGACTTTTATGCAAACGTTTGCACTTCTTTCCATTGTTGACAACAACAAACATCGGTTCACGTTTCTCCTTTGTAACATTGCTCGAATCTGCTGCCTTACACTCCGTGCCTGCAAAACCAGTCAATGTCTCTTCATGCACTGTCTCCACATGTTCTGTGTCACCTATTTCAGTCCAGTCCGCCAGTATGGGCGAGGCCAACGATTCCTCGAAGTGTTGGAGGATCCTGTCAATCCCTTCCTCCGGCAAATTCTCACACCTTTCTGAAATCCATGACATTGCACTCTCAACAATGTCTCTCTCATCCAGAATCTTGTGACGTTCTTGAGCCCTCGCCGTCTTTGCAAACTGAAGTTGTAATCTTGCAATGACTCCATTGTACATCCTGACATAAGTGTCAGACCCATCAGGCTTCCAGCGTCCTAACATGTCACGCTCTTCACGTTGAGCACGTAGAAGAGCAAGGCCAGTTGGTAACGTAGCACGTTCTGAATGCTCTGTCCAAAATGGAGCAAGCAAAGGATGTATGATAAATTCATCTTTGCCTGGCCTCTTGAGTCTGCGTCTCACTCTTGCTGAATACGCACTGATATCGTTGTATGAAGCCATAGTTTTTCTAAATGCAGACCACTCATCATTCAGTTTCGGCAGTAAATAGTCTCTCTCAAACGGTGCATGTTTTCTGATCAAATCAAAACCAGTCTTCAGCCATAAAGGATTCGAAATAAAAGCATGTTCTGAGACACAGACAGGAAGCTCCTGAACCCGTTTCGATGGTCCCGTCGTCTTGGTTGTTCTCAAAATGGTTGTCATGCGTCCTCCATAAAACTTGAGTTCCTTCGGGATGATTTTCTGCACATCGTCCCAACGTAATGTTGCCCAAAGTTTGACCAACTTTACCCACGCAACCAAACGGAAACCAATGCGTTGACTATCATCTTCAACAACATGTTCAAATGCTTCCACCATCACCAGTGGATAACGCGGTGCACGCTGAGTCGGAGGCTTGTCCTTGGAGAGCATTTCCACCAAATAATCCCTGACTGAACAAACAACCTGTGAGTCACCAATCCTTTCACGTGGATCAATGTCTGCAATCCGTTCCAACCAAACCACAGCTTTGACAATGAGTGGAGGCACTGTAGCTCCACACGGCTCCTCATACCTCGTGAAAAGATACTCCACCAAATCTCCTATTTCAGGACTGGCAAGTGAACCACGTACAGCTGTAAGCCACTGCAAAAACGATCTCCAAGTCTTGATGTAACGTTTCAAGGTGTTGTGCCTAGTCCTGCCTGCAAGTGCAAGGTGCAAATGTTTCTGATCAACGCAGTGCTCCAAATGCATTAAGGCTGGTGCATCTATACGCTTGAGCTCCTTGAACAATTCCCTTGACCAAGTCTCCTTCTGTTCCAATTCTTTCTTCTGTCTCTCTTCTGCATTCTCAATTGGAATGTATCTCCTGCGACTAGGTCTGGTACTGCAGTCATCCAACATTGGCTCAAGTGACACAAAACCAACTGATTTGGGGTA